ATCGAGTCACGACTGTATAGTGAAGAGCATGAGGCTTATCTTGAGCTGCCTTCCTGACCAGTTTGTGTGTCTTCCTGCTCTTTTCTCTTCTGCAGCATGCCTTCCATTTCCACTGTATTTCACGCTGGCTGAAAACCAGACAGGTGTGTCCTCTGGACAACAGGGAGTGGGAGTTTCAGAAGTGAGTATTGTTCATTACGGTAGTAGTTTGTAGAGTATTTATCACGGATGTCTGGTTGTGGAGGAATGTCTGGGTTTGTGTAACCGTGTGCTGGTTGTGTATTTGTTGCATTAGACGATAAGAAGTTGTGAATATTTTCTAAGGTGAGCAGCTGAACTGACGGCATGTTTCTGTTTCCACAGATATGGACACTAGCTGTATTATTGCTGATCTCTTTCTTGGCTTCCTCGGTCGTCGCCCTCACTGCGTCTTTATTCCCTCCCGCCTGTAAAACTACTTTTATTTTTTTCCACCCAAGTCTTTGTTTTGGTTTGTTGTAAGTACATGAATAAACAGGAACGTGTTCACAAACGCAGCTTGTGTTACTTGTACAGGCAGCAGGTTTTCTACTGTGCTGCGTTTTTTAAAAAAATGATTAAAGGAAAACCAGTGAAACACCTTCAGGACTTGGTTAATGAGCGACATGTTGGTGGACAGAGCCGACGGTAATGTGCTGGGTCAGACGGGCCGGACCTGTCCATGTGTTACAGGCCACTAATCCTCTGGCTCACAGACAGATGTTCTGGTGGATTAGGCGTGCTGTTGACCTACTCTCCCTCTGGGACCGGTTTCTACCTCAGCAGCACCATGTGTCGTCAGTTCTGTTCAAAAAACAAGTCAGGAGGTAAAGGCGTCGTTATCCAGCAGAACCGGTCGGTTAATTAAATTATTATGACTACAGCAGAGAAATAATTTATAACCACTCAGAAAGTCACTCGTGTTTCATGAACTCTCATTTTTCAACAAGTCACTGGTTCTGAATGTTGTGAATCTCGATAACAAAAGGATTTGTGTTTCGTTTCCTCCTGGAGATGTTGAATTGAAAAAAACTAGTTCAAATACAAAAGCACACTTCAGTTTGCCCACACATTTGTTCACAGGGACGCTGAGACACAAACGCCTCACAAGATAACACACAGGAGTCTGAAGATGGAGTTAAAAACAACCTGTGGTGTTATGACGGCCGTTTTTATCAGCATGAACATCCTGTTGACTGAAGATTAGCAGAAAAAAATAGTTCAGCTGCAGCCAAATTGCTCATTAATAGTTTTCTGATTTATTTAACAAAATAAAATAGTGGAGAAACTATGGAGCCCCAGACATGACACGGACAAAATAAAATTAAATCGTATCGCTGTAACATACATCAAAATACTAATTCGTTCACACGTTGCAGCAATATAACGAAATAAGTATGTGAGCACAAAATATTAATATCGTTCCTGGACAACTGGGAAAGCAAATCGAGCGCACCTTCTCTGCAATACGATATAACAAAATGATCAAGTTGGATTAAAATTAGAGATGCGCCGATCCGATACTGGACGAAATTACAGTATCGGATGATTTCCTTCACAGTGGTAACTGGCCGATCCGATACCGCCACACACACACAATCCTGCCTTCCGACACCCCCACGTGTTCGTCTGCTCATTGGCTACAAGTGTACAGCGTCAGAGAGTGTCTGCAACCCGACTGGTCGAATCTACAAGGGTGGGACTTGTGCGGACCGGGTTGACTGTCTGAGACACTCCATTGGCCCTTCAGGCTGTCACTCACCCCCAAAGCCCTCCTATTGGCCAAACTAGGTGTCAATCAAAAGCTGAGCCGTCCGTCTAGTTGCCTGTAGCGCTTTCAGCGCGATCTGAAATAGATTCAGGATGATTTTGCCAGAAGAAATGAATAAAACAGCCAGAGCTGATCTCAAGCTGGGAAGACATTACTGCAGAGTTTGTGCCTTTGAGGATCTAATACGTTTTACGGACCGAATTATTTTACGGGACAGAATGAGACCGAGCTGGTGAGGAATGAGCGATGTTTGAGCTGCAGAGAGCCTTCAAAAGTAAGAAAACTCGGGTTTTAACATTTTGCTTTTCTGTACAAAAAGCTCTTTGTGTCAACGCTGTGGTTGCTGCAGGTCAAAAAGGTTTATATCATCGGAAAGAGGAGACTCTGAGCTTTCCTTTGATGTGTATGTTGTCGGGAAACGTGATTGTGGAGCATGCGCACATCTGGCTGTAATGTGTTTGGAAAGTGGTCACGTCCCGCCGGCGGGCCGTGGGAGCGGTGAGGGGTTAAAAATACTGTTCTTAAATTTTTTATTTTTTTAAATTGGAAGTATATTTTGAGTGAAATCACCCTGTAAAACTACGTGGCGCACCCGAACTAGAAGCCGTGCACTTCTCCGGCCGTAGCAGAGAGTCCAGCCTCTCCGTGCAGCCCTCTACCAGCAGCCTGTACGGGGCTCTCCGGCTCTGCACACACAACCTTCCTATTGGATCCCATCCCGCAGCACGTCGCAACGTTTCCGGCCTCATTTACTACTGCTCATGCGCAGAGCCCAGAGCGGCTATTAGTGGTTCTATTATTTAATACCAAGTGTTGGTAATTGAACCTTTAAATTGCAGCTTAATGTTGCTGTGTCATTGTGATCTGTTCTAAATATGTGAATGGCTCTGAGTGCACACTGTAGTCTGACTGCAGCTCAGATAAAGCAGCTACAGTTTCACTGTGAGACATGCTTTTGGCTGTTGTTTCTTAGAAAAGCAAAGTCTGTGCTTTAATAGTATGAGGCTTTTGATAAAGCCATCTTAAACAAATGTATCCATGCAAATAAGGTATTTCCAAAGAAGTTCAGGAGGAGAGATGGTATCGGTATTGGTATCGGTATCAGCAGATACTCAAAGTTGAAGTATCGGTATCGGTATCGGAAATCAGAAAGAGGTATCAGTCCATCCCTAATTAAAATAATACAGAACCAGTCGATGTTTGGCCTCGACGCCGTTTCCTTCTTTTTTATTTTTCGTTCGTCTGCACGGTGCAGCACTTTGCAAACCAGAATCTGAGGCGGCGTCGGTAGAAATATGTCAAATTCTGGAGGAAAAACCGATTCTTCCGATGTGACAAAGCTTCATAGATTAGTAGTTGTCCAAAAGTATTCATGCCCATGCACTATATCGACATGTTGGGGCCTGAGTTTAGACCTGAACAGGTGGAAAGAGAAGTGGAACAGAATCCCAACAGAGGAAAAACGGTTAGAAATTAAAATATAAAACAAAAATATTAGAATGTGTCGTTGCTTCTCTGATACGATGTCGTACTGTGTCGTCATCTGTTGGTCAAATCAAAAAATGACAAAACTGGGAAGGGATGAATCATTTGGAGTTCATACATTTTATATACAAGATGCTGATTTCAGAACTTAAAATTCAGTCGTAGAAACCTAAAGTCCTCCTGAAGTCCTCGGGGAGCAAATTCGCAGAGCAAACAGGACGTGGTCATTATGAAGGAAGATCAAACCCGCTGTGCAGCAACAGAGGTTTTATTATTATGAATCATTTTTCCATCAGGGTCAAACACCAAGATAAGTACATTTTTATTCTTTTTTTTTTTTAATATTTATAATAACAGATCTGATAACAAAAAGTTAGCCGAGGGTCGTGTTTGAGAGTTCGGCTCTGTTCACATAAAGAAAAACCAGTAGCTAGACCATGATCACGTATTAAATGGTTGTAGAAATGCTTGTGAGCGAGCGTCGTAATGCAGGAGCTCCCGGTTTAGCGGTTCCAGATACAGGTTAAGAAACGTCAACCTTTGGTTAAGTAGCGTCCCCGCCGAGACGCGTGGTGGGGTTCGTCTAAGTGACAGACCTGCCTCCTAACCATCGGGTGGCTTTGTTGAGATGTTGCTAAGTGCTAACAGGCGGATTAAGAACATTTAAAAAATTGCCCAGCTTCCTCTACGACACACCGGTTAACCCGTCACCTGCTCCCCCGACACAACCACACACAGTGAAGAAAAGCGCCGCCCTCCACACTGTTCATCCCCTCCACCCTCCGCTCCATCCTCCACCCTCCACTTTGGTCCTTTTTCTCCGTCTATGGCTGTGGGGAAGCTCCAAATTTGGCACTCAGCTTGGTGACGAGGGCCATGATTTTGGGGTTGTTCTGATACTTGGCGATGTTGGCCGGGTTCTGTGCCACATCCTGGAAGGCAGCCATCACCTCAGGGTCCTGGAGGTCAACATGGAGGACAGACAGGGTCACTTGTTGTCACATGAAGCGTTTCTACATCAGCTTTAAAGAGACGGTGAAAGGAAAAGTATGTTTTGTCACAGCTTTTAGGACTTTTAGTTGGACTTTTTAGTTTAGGCTCTAATGGAGCAGTGAGAGCACATTGTTTAGTGGATCATCCCCCTCCAGCCCTTTAATCTCTGGATGAACATCAGGATAACTCAACTAAATCCTGAGCTGCACCGCCACCGGCTCCAACACACACGCTCTGCTTCCCTTTACTACAGATCCCCGTCTAAGTGTCATGGTTTTGTAGTCTTTGTCCTTCCCGCCTATGAAGAATGCTGCACGTCTTTATGATCTGTGCTTTCTCAGTCTGCTCCTTCAAGATCTGAGCAACGTAAAGGATTAATGTTCACCAGTAAGTTACCTTCATGGCATTTAGCAGCTCAGGATCCTTCAGCAGGTCACCAAGACCAGGCATGCCAGGAGGAGCTCCGCCCGGGAACCCAGCAGGGCCTGCACCACAACACAGAACCTTATGAACAATCGATGCATCTGATAAACGGCCGACGAAGCCCACAACACTGAGAAATGTTCTGGTATTTCTCTGGGTGGAGCTTCAAGCATGACAGTACTGAAGGCTACAGATGTGACTTTAAATAAAGACGACCTGAGAACCACCCGTTGTTCTGCCTTCTGATGCTGCAGCAATCAACACTGTGTAGGCGATCAATAAAATGATCAATGTGTGTACAGGAGTGTGAATCTGTTCAGATCATGCATCACTACCTGGGAAGTATCCTCCTCCGAACTGCCGCGCCTCCTCTTCCTGTGGCAGAACAAAACAACACACTCATCAGTGTTCTGACATGTCAGCTGGATTCGTCTGTTGTCTTAAAGAGGAGTCTGGAATAAGGAAGCCGTCCAGCAGCTCACCCTCTGGGCCCGTGCATGCTCCTCTCTGGCTTTCTTTATCCGCTCCTGCTTTTCTTTCACCTCCTTCTCTTCTCTCTTGCGCTCGTATTTGCGTCTATGCTCCATGATTTTGTTTGCCTGAAGGAGGGACGACAAGAACGATGTACTGAGAACTCACAGGTGGAAACGTCGTCGTGTTTGATCTCCTGCAGCTCGTGTCTACGCGGTTCTTCAGACCTACTCTGATCTGGATCTGAGAACACGACAGCGTTCCTCTACAGCGCTGCATTCAAATCACACATCTGCGATACTGATTCTACAAATGAAATGATTTTCTGTAAGTTCCCCTTCTCCTCCTCAGGCGTGGTACCTTTGGCTGGACCTCTTTCAGCATCGCACTGGCGTCCTCGTCGTAGTCCAGTTTGCAGGCTATGGCCAGGTCCTTGGCTGCATCCTCCCAGTGACCCAGCAACCTGCAGCAGGACACACAGTGGTGTCAGATACCGGCCATATGGCACCAGCAGCATGGTTGGCAAAGAGGAAAAAAATAAAATCAATCCGTGCCGTCACCCCGATCCCCTCAGAATCAGCAGACTTGTTTGTAGTTATTATATTTAATGACTCATTTGACCTTCATACGATGATTATTTTCAGAGCAGCAGGTCCTATAAGTACACAGCGGAGGGTCGAAGTTTAGCTTTTTTTAATCTGCGTTACATTTTCCAGCATTTCTTCGTCCTCATTACTTCATAAATACATGAGACAAACATGTGAGATTTTCATTGTGGACACATTTGAGCTTAAAAACTTGACTCCACGTGTCACAAAGTCAGAGCTCTCGTTTTTGTTTAGCGAATTTCCAGAACCAACTCCACAACCAGATTAATGTTCATATACCAAGGAAGAAGAGGAGGAGGAGAAGAAGTTGTTTATATCGTGACTTAAGTAAAAGGACTGTAAATATCAAACGTGCTGTTTTGCAGACGGTGAAATGTGATTAACGAGTTGAGCTCTGAGTTCGTGTATCTGTGGGTGTTTACACTGAGGGTTTGGTTGTGTGGAGTAAATGAGGACAGCTACTTCTAGGTTTGTTTAAACACTAGAAAGCTCCTGTGCAACACCAACGTTGTCCTACCTGTGAGCTTTTCCCCTCCACTTGTAAGGCTGTGCAGAGTCTGGGTTGATGCTGATGGCTCTGTCACAGTCTCTTATTGCTGCGTTGGGTTTCTGCATCTGGATGTAGACACTGAGACGAGGTGGACAGCTCATTACACTTATCTCCATTCAGAACAGACAGTGTAACCGAGGCAGGAATAATCTGAATTACACACAGGACGCTCACCTTGCCCTCTTGGCGTACATGATGGCGACACAGGGGTTAAGCCTGATAGCTTCAGTGAAGAGATCCAGAGCTTTCTGCAGATCACCTGTAAGTGGGAGAAAAATGAGTGTTGGAGCTCATGAATCCAGATCTGTTCAGCTGATCAATACAGGACTGTCAACCCACCTTCTCCTAGAGCATTGATGGCCTCGATCTTCTTCTCGTTGGCTTGTTCCATCATTTCCTCTGTGACCTGAAGAAAAGTACGGACAAAGACATTCAGACTTCATCTGGTTGTTTTCTAGGCTTTTAATCTTAATTAACTCAAGGTTCCATGAGTCTGTGTCTGCGTGATTAATAGGGATTATATCAATGCTGAGGGCTGCAGGTGGATCAGTGGTTAGCACTGTCGCCTCGCAGCTAGAAGGTCGCCGGTTGGCGTCCCGGTGAGGACACCCGGGATCTTCCTGCGTGGAGTCTCCATGTTCTCCCCGTGCAGCGTGGGTTCTCTCCGGGTTCTCCGGCTTCCTCCCACAGTCCAGAAACATGCTGAGGTTAATTGGTGATTGTAAATTGTCCGTAGGTGTGAATGTGAGTGTGCTTGGTTGTCTGTCTCTAAGTGTAGCCCTGTGATAGACTGGTTACCTGTCCAGGTGAACCTGCCTTCACCCTGAGTCAGCTGGACTTAGGGTGAGCATTAAGGTGTAGAGATGATGGATGGATGTCGATGCTGAATGCTTTACCTCAGTGTTGTCAACCTCGCCCATGTCCTGCGGCTCGTCGGTGTCCGGCTCGATGACTCCCTCTTTGTCGATTTCTATGAAACAAACACAGAAATCCAACAAACAGATTATAGGGTGGCTGCATCTTAGAGCCACTTTGCTCATATTTGATATAAGTTCTGCATTTGGTTTCAGGGTCTGATTTCTGAAGCTGTCACATGTCTGTATGATAAAATGGGGTTATGGCATTTGGCTGAAAGTTACCAGACAAGTGCTGGTAAATTGTGTTTCTACACTTTGTATGAACTAAACAACAGAAAGGAAAACCACTAACAAACATTTATAACCCTGACTCCAGAGCTGTGCCTAGAGAAACGTGGGTTAACGGCTGAGACGGACATGCAGTACCTATTTCACTCTCCTCGCTCTCAGACAGCAGAGGAGGCTCCGGCTCCGGCGGGGAGGAGGCTGTCGGAGGGGGACCACAAGGACAGCCGCCCTGCAGGTCAGAGAGCACGCTCCGTTACCACATGGTGCCATTTAACACACAACACAGAAAAAACTGACGTAATCAAAACCATAGAAGTGTCACCTGGCATGTGTCCTGTGTCTTGGGTGGGGGAGGTATTGTTGCACCCATTCTGCAAAATAAAATGACAGAGAAAAAGCTAATGAGTGACACAATGAGCCTGATTTTTAAAGGTACTCAGTTTCTATTTATGAACACTTTAAACTTCAGTGTTTTAATATAAACAGTCATTTTTCAGTCACATTTATTCGTGTTTTCATGACTTCAGATCACACCGACCTACATGAAGCACCTGCAGACTTACTCTTCACCTTAATATTTAATGATTTATGAGGACTTGCTGTGGAAACGGATTTCATGTTCCCACAATCTGAGTAATACCAGACAGAGGAAAAAGAAACAGAGAGAGTCCACAGTCCACCTCAGTGAAAACAGTGACCTCAGTAAAGAGAAAGGACGACACAGAGAGCTGCAGCTACAGACAGACGGAGGAAATAATGTGTTGTCACTGCGAGGCCGATGAGTCAGAGACAGAGATGCACTTCCTCTTAAAATGTGACACGTGTAATAATAACTTAAGACAGGAATGTGTTAACTTCAACGAGCCAGTTGACGACTGATTGTGTTTGGAGAGAGCACACCTGGCTGCACGTCACAAGCTGAGAGTCACATGATTAAAACATCACTGTGTGTGGAAAACAACTATCCTAACAGCCTATTATTAAGCTTTAAAAACCAGTATCAGGGCCCTGTGACCTTCTATTGGTGCTCTTGGTGGAGCCATGCTGCATTCTCCTCTTCAGGTTGTAATGGATATCCAGTTAGCTGATTCCAAGCAGGTTAGGCTTGACTCTCTTCTGTATTTCATAGCTGAGTGATAATTTAGTTTGGATCATCTGTTGACTTCAGCTTCTGCACAAAGGAATGGTGAATGCTTTTGGCAATCCAGTGTGAGTTTTTGATCTTTTTAGTTTCACATCATATTTAAATATGATGCATTGCATTATTATTTTTCATGTCTTTTAGGAGAAGTGGTGTTTATTCCACCACTATGATAGAAAGTAATCAGCCCTGGTGTGTAGACTTATATATGACATGTCACTGTTTTGCCATTTTCTAATTCTGTTTAATGAATCAGCTCCTTGATGCTGAGGCAATCTGTCCTTGTGATGTTCAAACACAACAGAGTCTGGTCCTGATGGTTTGTACTGGGAGGGGGCGGGACAGGACACGTGGTGACCCTGCAGTCGGGTCCAGGCTGTATTTAAATACCCCAGTGACACTGTGAATTAATAAACCCTCTACAAATCATTGCCCCCCCACCGGCTCGGCCACGGAACACAGAGTTCACACGGGCGAGAGCAGCCCAGAGTACTAACTCGAGCAGCCAGGTGCGGAAGAAGCTCATCTCTGGAAGGTGCAGGATCCCGGGGTTGGACTCGCACAGCTGCACGAAGCCCTTGAGCTCTGACACTTTTCGTGGGTCCATGCTGCTGTGTCACTCCCAGCACACGGAGCTCTGCATGCGGGGAGAAAAAAAACACCAACAAATTATCAGTCTTGGCTTTGTTTACATGAGCTAACAGCAGCTAGCCAGGGATGCTAAAGGGATTGAATGAGCGCGCGCTACGGGCTCAGTTTATACCCCGCGCTGACGGACAAAACACGAGAAATTCAGAGTCTACAAGCGAAGCAGGCAAACAAACCAACCAAACATATAAATAAATAATGGTAGTATTAACTATTTCAACGACAGAACGCCAGAAGTTTCTAGAAATGTCAATCCGTCCGTGACGCGATAAGCGTTTGACGCATGATAACGCCGTTAGCTAGCCGGACTACGGGCCACGGCTAAAAGCTAACAGTCCCGGAGCTGCACGCAAACATCTCGGTTCCTCTAAAAGCAAAATGTTACGCACCCGATAGAAGATGTACACCGTAGACACCCGAGAAGACAACACGATGCGCGGTCGAGCTTAATCGCCACAACACTGCTTCACCGAGAGAGGCGTCGCTTCTCTGTTTTCATTCAGGCGAATTATCGGACAGACCGACGGACCGCGGAGCATTCGGGCCCCGAGCAGCGACTGTCAGGCGGCTCCTGGTCAGCTGAGCGACCCAACGCGGCGCAGCACAGTGGAAGATTTCCAAAAGATAGAATACACACACAGTGTCCTGTTTCATCTATTAATGTGCACCAGGATGCAAAAATGTTCATTTTTATTATTATTACTATGACTGAAATAAAACGGCATTTTCTTCAGTGCCAGTGCAACATTTTTTGACAAATTTAATTAAGCACGATAAGATTTGTTGTCAAGAATCTATCTTCTACATAAATTATTCTAATCAGCCTCCAAAACGCGTGTGATTTCCCCTTAGCTTACTCCCAGTCCACCTGAGAGGTCATGCTCAGGGCAACACGTCGCTCTGGACGGTGTCACCTTTACTCTAGTGTCACCATCTGACGGCCCCTTTTCTGTTTATTGTTTTTTTTCACGTTATTTTCTATTTAATACATATATATTTAATTATTTGAAAGCTACAATAGTGTAAATAAACTACGTGAAAAGGAATAAATACACAGATGGATATAAATTATAGATTGAGGACTCGTTTCCCTGAATTCAGCCTTTCAGGCAGCCACAGGATGACAAAACCCACCGTCTGTCATGTTGTGTATGTCTCATCTCATCTCATCTCATGTCATCTCATATGTTTAGGTGGACTATTTTCTTTTTTATACAATAAATGTAATTCAAATTCAAGATTCAATCAGAGCTTTTCAGGATATCGAGAATGGCATTCTTCAGGCAACAAAGCCTGTTTTATTTTCTTTGTGAAGATGGATTTATCTGTTTTTGCAAATGAACTCTTCACTTGTTTTTTGGAACTTATCCAGGTTGTCTTCTCCCGACTAGATCCTTGCTTGTGTTGTATCTGCTCTCAGATGTGGGTCGCTTTGGATAAAAGTGTCTGCTTTGTTAAATCAAAGAATTGTAGAACTGTAATCAACTTGTTAGACTTTAGCACTGGAGCAAGAGAGACTGTTCACAGACAAGGATAAATGGTATAACACAGTGAAATAGATAGATAGATAGATAGATAGATAGATAGATAGATAGATAGATAGATAGATAGATGGATAGATAGATGATGGATAGATGGATAGATGGATAGATAGATAGATAGATAGATAGATAGATGGGACCTTTTACTCTACAGATGCCGCTCATAAGGGGCGACTGTAATAATATTTGAAGTAGGGTGCAGTAGTAGGAAAATACATATAATTTGCACAAGGATGTAATTCACAAAAATTCATGTTTCCTTGAATATTATATCAGACTATATAGAGAAAATTCTGATTGATTAAATAATAATAATAATAACAACAACAACAATTCATTTTATTTGTATAGCGCTTTTCAAGATAAGTGTACGTATGTGAGCCGCTGCAGTAACCACTCCAGGCCGGCAGGGGGAGGACGTGCACCGGCGTAGTTTGCTGCCACCGCGTGAAGAAGTAGAATGTGCGTCTCCGCCTGACAGACCGAACTCCGGGCAGCAGTTTCACAACGTGGTTATCCAACATGGGAGCAGCGGAGTAGCGAGCAGCGTCGAGCCGGTGGACAGAGCGCTGCTGTGGGACGGTCTAACGCCGGGAAGTTGTCAGTAAACACCGCTGCGTGTCTCTGGCGACGCGGCCGGTTCGTGCCTGTCTGACGGTGACTTTGTGTGCAGCGGGGCGGCATGCTGTGACTGCTCGGTGTCCTCCGGTCGCTAATGTTGCCCTCCGCCGGTGGCCGCTCGGTCCGGGCGGCCGTCGGGCTGCTGGCTCCGCGGACCCGGAGTGGAGGTGAGCCTGATCCAGGTTTCAGCTACTTTGCACCAACACAGCCCATCACACCTCAGAGGGAGGAATAAAACCTTTAACCCACCACAGGGAGGTGTTTATATATGATGTAGTTCAACCTGCCTCCAGCACCTGTAGCTGTAAAATAATGTTTAATAAATCTACCAGTGTGGAAACCAGCAGGCTGAGCAGAAACTGGGACAGAAGTTAAAGGTGTGCTCACTCTAGTTTGTGGATAGTTTACGGGGACATTTCTCTAGAAAGATGTGTTTCAGTTATTTCATGTTGTACAAAAAACTAAATCCATTCACCTACTAGTTCAGTCATTTGTCTCAGATTATATCCATGTAAACAGCCAGATTCTATTTAGGAGAAGCCACGCGTGATATTTTAGTTTTATTTGCAGGTCTTTTGGTAATTTGGATAAAACCACATGTGAAAGTAATTTAAAATAAATAGAAGTTAATCTGTTAAATACCACATGACAATAAAACCACACTACGTTGGCTTACACCTCTTTTTTTAATTGTAATTTAATTTAATTTACATCCTTGCTCAAGACTGGACAAAAGAGGGAAGACCACACATAAACTGGAACTAAAAATAGTTTGTTTTACACAACTTCTCTGCCACTAAAGTATTACGATTCAAGATGAACTTTATTTAAGATGAACTTTCTTGTGCCAGGTGTGGGGAGTTTGTCTTGGGCTGTTCATCCACGACACAAACAGGGAGAATACAGTTAATAGATAGAATAAATAAATACATGAAGTAAAAGCAGAATAAAATTAATATCATAGTTGAATTACATGAGGCCTAAAACATGGCACTTTTAAAAAACAGCTCGAGCTATTTTACTTATTAAGCTGTAAGAAGCTCTCTATAAGTCCGTCACCAAACCTTCAACTGTGAGAAACTAAACAAACACCTTAAACTAAAAAGCACAAAACCAACACACTCAACAAGGTCGTCCTGAAAGAGAAACCAAACGGGGACTAGAATACTGCTCTCCCTGCCAAAGGAAACATACACAGTTCTTGTATGATACAAATTTGAATCTAACAAGTTGGCCTGCTGCTTTTTTTTTTCAAAATACAGAATTCAAGTCTCTTACTGTTTACATTGTCACAGGAGTAGCAGCAACACGAAAGGTCAGGAGACTGAGTTTCACCCTTCAGAGAAATGTAAATTTAAACGAGCCTCCAGTTTGTCCCAACCTGGCTCAAGCCTGAGACCACACACGAGTTCTAACTACAGAACTGAAAAGGAAATTAACCAGAGCACAAACAAATCATAACCCAAACCAGGTGGAAGCCAGAGAGAGAGACTGTCTGCCTGCTTAGAGGATCATAAAGATTAAGTTTTAATATGTGGTTCAGGGATAAAGGACACTCCTGCCATACTGCTAGTGATGCTGCACTCAAGCAGCTAAACTTTAAACTCCCTGTAATAATCCACTTTGTGTGGCTGAAAGATGTTTTCCAGGGAAAACAATAAAGTTGATCAGGCTGTGTAAGATCATAATGACATGTCTAAAGATTGAAATAATTTTTGAGGTCACCAGTCGTGCCTTGTGCCTAAGTTGTGCTTTTCTTTGCCCGACATCATATCTGAAAATGGAGTTGCTTGGACGTTGATGAGACTGTGATAGAGAAGGAAGCAGAACTGAGGTCCAGCAGGATGGGATTTCAATATCAAGAGGCAGAGATCAGCTTTTAAAAAAAAATATGAGTCGTTGCTTTCCACTCAGAACAGACAGCCGTCCCGTCCGGTACCACCACCTCACCCACCGACACCAGCAACGATCAAATAACTGATGAATTATAGACGACTATCCACCAGTACGTCAGTTTTTGTGGGTCACCTGCTCAATCCGTTAGGAAAGTTCAACTAAAATATGTTTTTTCAAATTGCAGTTGCTGAATGCGTCTATTTTGGATTAAGTTCAAAAGTCTTTGGGGAGTTTCCAGAAGGGTTAAGTGGCGGCCAGACACCTCAGTTTTATGTAGGAGCTGAAAGCAAAGGATGCAGTGACAGTGTTCCTGCAGGGAGATGAGTGCTGTCGTTAAAACGGATCTGGTGAAAAATCATAGCGAGGCCGTCTTACTGCAGGATCCAAGTCCTCTGCATAGCTTTACATTTCCAGTGTGGGTCGCTGGCTGATAGCTGCTGTTGTTTCCCAGCGAAGGGGATTTTGAAAATGATAACATGTAGATACCAGGAAGCACATCCAGAACACGACTAATGGCAGGCCTGAGCCGCGGTCTGCATCCTCTGAGTCACATAGTTTAGGTAACAGAAGTGTTCTGCTCTGCTGCTGTCTGCAGGACGGATCTGGTGCCCGTGCAGAAGCATTTCTGTGAAACCAGGAAGTTTGAAGCCAAAGACGATTCCTCCGCGATACCTTGGCCAGCCCAGCCCTTTCACTCATCCACACCTCATCAAACACGGTGAGTGGAGTTACCATGGAGACCTTGTGAAGTTGTGGTTTTTGGGGAAAACCTGTTATGAAGCATGTCAGAGAAGTTCCAGGACTGGCGTCACAAAAGATAGATTTCACATCCAGACAACAAGTGTTCCCCTTCCCAATAACCCTCCTGGAGTCTAACACCCTCCTCCAGCCTTCTCTTCACGTCGCCATGCTCTCCTGGAAGGATTCTTCAGGATCCTCTCAGCTCCGTCCTCACAGCCATCTTGATGTCGTCCACGTCTTCTAAACGCGTCTCCTTGATGAGCCCTTGAACTTGGGGAAGAGGAACCAACCCCACGGAGCCAGGTGGGGTGAGTAGGGAGGTTGCTCCAGCACGGAGATGTTCTTCTCAGCCAGGAGCTGTGGGATGCTCAGGGCGCTGTGAGCAGGTTGTCATGGTGAAGCAGCCTCCACTGGTCCTGACACAACTCTGCCTCTTCTGGACGAAGCAAACGCTGCAGGACCTCTGTAGACGAGCTGGTTGATGGTCTGAAGGGGAAACTCCTGGTCTGTAGTTTGAAATCTATCTTTTGTGACACCAGTCCTGGACCTTCTCTGACACACCTGGTAGTCTTTAACAGTCAGCAGCAGGCTCAACACACAACTGTTTCTTCAGAGACGTAGGATTTGTGTTTTCTCTGCTCCTCAGGGGAGGTGACCCCGGGTCTGAGCCAGACTGAATATGAGCTCCGCAGACACCGGCTGGCGTCGCTCATCGAGGCCCAGGCAGAAAGGCTGGGACCTTCTGCCTCCTCCGGCACCCATGTGGTCATCGTCTTATCCCATCCGACGCGCTACATGACCAACGACATCCCATATCCCTTCCACCAGCACCAGGTGATGCCTTCAAGTTGAATTTATTCATCTTCAGAGTTAGGATGCGTCCTCCTGCCAGTCCCCCCATGGGGGAATTACATTCTTGTCAGTTGGTTGGTTGTAATTTTAGCGAGGCTTCACCAGTTAACCTTCAACCAAACGCTCCTCAGGATTTCTTCTACCTCAGCGGCTTCCTAGAGCCTGACAGCGCTCTGGTTCTCTACGGGAAAAGTCGACCAGACCAGGCCATCCTGTTTGTTCCCCGCAGAGACCCAGGAAGGGAGCTGTGGGATGGGCCGCGGTCCGGGAAGGACGGGGCGGCTGCTCTGACCGGCATCGAGAGAATTCACAGCACGGAGGAGCTGGGTGTTGTCCTCAAGAGCCTTAAAGGTGGGTGGACGCGAGCAGGAAGGTCTCCTGCAGTGATAACTGGCAGGTTGGTAATAATCTTTGGATTTGCAAGCAGAGAGCATTCTGGGAGCTTCAGACAGTAAAGGAGCACCGTGATAGAGACTCCGCCTTCAGGCCCGTTCATGCTTTCTGCGTCCACGTGTCATTCAAATTGTGCACATGCTTTGTTAGTGTGTGCTTTCTATTGACGGAGCCCAAACAAAGTAGGATGTCCTCATTGAAGAAGAAATGCTTTGTGATACGGTGCTAACCTGTGTGTGTGTTCTTCTGTGTTTCATGTGAAGGAGAATGCAACCGGACACGTAGCACACCGGCGAGGTCCTGTTAGTGCTGGCTATGAGCCCTTAATTTGCATAAAGTAGTTGATTCCTGGGCTACAGGTGTCTCGGTGGTTAGCACCGTTGCCTCACAGCTAGAAGGTTGCCGGTTGGCGTCCCGGTGAGGACACCCGGGATCTTTCTGCGTGGAGTCTCCATGTTCTCCCCGTGCAGCGTGGGTTCTCTTCGGGTTCTCCGGCTTCCTCCCACAGTCCACAAACATGCTGAGGTTAATTGGTGATTGTAAATTGTCCGTAGGTGTGAATGTGAGTGTGCTTGGTTGTCTGTCTCTAAGTGTAGCCCTGTGATAGACTGGTTACCTGTCCAGGTGAACCTGCCTTCACCCTGAGTCAGCTGGGATAGACTCCAGCTCCCCATGACCCTGGTGAGGATTAAGGTGTAGAGATGATGGATGGATAGTCGACGCCTCAGTTTTATGTAGGAGCTCAAGGGATGCAGTGACAGGGTTCCTGCAAAACAGCAGCAGGAGGGAACTGTTTTAGTGCGACTTTTACACTCAGGGAGGCGAGCGCTGTTATTAAATGGATCATCAGACTTACTGGTCCGACGCAGAAAGCATGAATCAACCGTTATCGAGTACGGAGCTCCGAGTAGAGCCGTGGTTCCTTAGCCGACATCTGACCCACGAACTAATTCAGACCTGAATTTCACTCTTGGCCTTTGTCCTGTCCTCCGACCCCTTCAGGCACTCAGCTGTGGTACGACAGCTCTCAGCCTGCACACCCTCGGCTCCACCAGACCCACGTGAGCCCCGTCCTGGAGGCGGGTCCGACGCCGCGCACCCTCAGACCCCTGGTACACTCTCTCAGAGCCCTGAAGAGCTCAGCAGAGGTGGCCCTCATGCAGGAAGCGGGTCGCATCACGGCGCAGGTCTGTCATTTCCTCTGCTGTGTACGAGTGGCTGTTTGCTTCACAAATGGAGATAAAACCGATTCACAAGCGCACCGACTCAACTCCTTGTCTTCCAGGCGTTCAGGAGGACGATGGCTCTGTCTCAAGGGGACGTGGATGAAGCCGTGCTCTTTGCTAAGGTGACGGCCTGCTGCCGCGTCTGTGATTAATGCAACCACAAGAGTTATTGGTTGATTATTCAGTCAAAGCACAAGTATGGAAACATTGCTCAGGACGATTTACAGACTGATTTAAGTGAAATATTTCAAACGTTTTCTTTGATTACGTCTTATAGCTCGTGAAAATCTGAAATTTAGTATATTAAATTAATAAAGGATTTAGGTGCAAAAATGTCCACAAATTACTGTGTCGTGGCGTGAAGGCGGTCAGATGATGAAACCCAGGTTGCCTTTATGGCAGCCTTCAGTTCGTCTGTCGTCAAAAGCTAAGATAGCAGCTGTTAACTGTTTAGTTGAGGAGCAACCTTCTTAATTTATATGGGATAACTAACTGTACAGTCAACAGAGCTACAAAGCTTTATTTACAGATATCTGCTGGTCGGATTGTTTTTTTTTTTTAGCTCTGTTTTGTACTTACAGCCAAACTGAAAAAGTAAATTCTTCTGCCACATCTGTACGCCATAAAATCTTAAAGCAGATGTGAAGCTCACAGTCGCTCCTCCAGTCGAAGGCGTTTGCTGACATCAACTCTTGTTTCAGTTTGATTTTGAGAATCGGATCCACGGTGCCAACTTCCTGGCCTATCCCCCCGTGGTGGCCGGAGGGAACCGAGCCAACACGCTGCACTACATAAACAACAACCAGATCATCAAGGTAACGCCTGCACGGTGCAGTAAACACATGAGAGAGCTTTAACCATCCTTGCAATCAGAAGTGGTTCACATGTTTGTAAAGTCGTGACCGTTGTGTGTTTTTCCTCCATCAGGACGGTGAAATGGTTCTGCTCGATGGTGGTTGTGAATACTTTGGTTATGTCAGTGACATCACGCGAACGTGGCCAGTCAATGGAAGGTAGGTTTAACAAAATGTTGACACACAATATACGCCTTTATGTGTGAACTTACACAAACTGATTATGCATCTCCTTCTTTAAATACAAAACGTACTTGGCAGCAAAAGTCAGGCTTTACAGAAGTGACAATCCGACAGCCTTGCTATCCGACATAGAAGAAGGTTTTACATTTAGTGTTGGGTTATTGAGTCATGACTGTACAGACTTAAAACATGCACCGCTTGTTTTTAACTGTTCTACAAACCTGGACTTTGCTGGAAAAAAACACGTATGATGGTGAGCATGAGCATTATTCTGCTGTGAACGACGGGCGACTCGTCCAGAGGTTTCCTGTCTTCACCCTCAGTCAGCTGGGACAGGCTCCGGCCCACCCGTGACCTTCCAGAAAACAGATGGACGGATGATTCTGTTGCCGGCGACGGGCACAACCCACCTTAATCGCCTGCTGCTCTCGCCTCCTTCCTGACAGATTCAGTCCCGCCCAGGCTGAGCTGTACGAGGCCGTGCTCGAGGTCCAGCGCTCCTGCTTGTCTCTGTGTTCCCCCGGCGTCAGTCTGGACCACATCTACAGCACCATGCTGGCTCTACTGGGACGCCAGCTCAAGCGGCTCGGCGTCCTCAAGGCCGGCACCAGCGACGCTGACGTGCTGAAGGTAAAAATTCAAAGAACAGAATTAGACGTCAGATTGTTCCTGTGCTCTACACCACATGAGGAGATGATCTGTGGACAGATGAGCTGTACGATAAGAAAACAAACTGATGGATCGCCACCTGCAGGCTGAACTGTTTAATTATTCATTATTTAAAATCTTGAAAAGCATCTGAACTATTTGTCGACATTCATGTTCACCCAGGATCAATTGTAAAATACATTTGCAGATCTCTGAGCCTTAAAGTCATATTGTCCAACTGGGTTTATGAGTGTATGCATGCAAAACAAATTTAGTTTAACTGAACCAATTCTTCCAAGATACAACCAGAAGCTTGTGGACGGCCACCAAGAGCACCGAGCTGAGGTGATATAATAGCCAAGAGATGTTTAAGCAGATATTAGCATCGCTGTACATATATTTGTGACCCAGCAGATTTAGTTGTACTTCCAGAAAACCTAAAACACATCTATGAAAGAACTGAACTGCTGATTGTCTTTTGTGATGAAGACATTTTATTGATTCCATCGCTGAAAACTCTGAGTTCTAGGAGTCATTAAAGACTCAAAACGGCCACGATTTACACGATCTTTACAAGAAAAGTTTGTGTGAAAACTTGAGTTTACGACTGTAGATGCTGCATATGGACACAGAGGACTGTCAGGAAGAGATTTAGCAAAAGGGACATTCTTAATACAGCAGATTTAAATCCGGACATAGCTCCTCTGGATCAGCATAGGTTAGATTAGATTCATCTTTGCCACTGCACGTCACAAGTACAAGGCAACGAGATCACACCTAGTGCATCAGCAGTAACCACATACAGAAATCTAAAATATAAATATAGATAATATATAATATGTACAGTGGTGCAAGTTGTGCTTATGAACCACGGTGATCCAGCCAGGTTAGAACCGAGCCACCACTGTGTCACTAAAAACCCCGTCTTAAACTCAACATCCTTCACTAACCCTGTCATCTCGCCTCGTAGCTCAGCCCTCTGACCTGGTTCTGTTTTGTTCATCCCAGGCTGCAAGGCGCTACTGTCCCCACCACGTTGGCCACTACCTGGGCATGGACGTCCATGACACTCCTGAGCTGTCCCGCTCACAGCCTCTCCAGCCAGGAATGGCCATCACCATAGAGCCAGGTGAGCACGCACTAGATCTCAGGAAGAAATCAGGTTTTGCTGCAGCCTTCACATCGACCTGAGTGGCTCCAGTTGTTTCATCGGCGCTCCCCTTTATCTCGTCACAGGATTGTACATCTGTGAAGACAACGATGAGGCGCCGCAGCGTTTTCGCGGCATGGGCGTCAGGATTGAGGACGATGTGGTGATCCGGGACAAAGGAGGACCTCTGATTCTGTCCTCTGACACGCCAAAGACCGTCGCTGACGTGGAGCAGGCCTGTGCCCAGAGATAGGGCAGAAACAGACAGGTGGCCACGTGAGCCACAGCGCTGGTGTGCAGACGCTTCTCAGTCGTCTCCATGGTTGATATCCTCAAGCTCAGGTGAAAGAAGTGTAGGAGCACGCTGTGAGGCTTCAGTTTTAGTCGGAGAAAGACGCCTCTGCTGTCTGATTATACGTTTAAAGACACTTTATAGCTGGTTTCATGTTTGTCTTTAACAGTGAAGTTAGTCGTTGTTAACAGGAGTGTGCAAAGTCAGAAAAACTTTATTAACAAGAACAGAAATAAAACTCCAAAACTTGAAATGTGCCGCCTGTAATGGCTGCAAAGACATCAAAACATGCGTATTTATTTGTGCATTAACATCATAGCTGTAGACCTGACTCGGTGATACACGTTTTCTGTTTCCACTCTTAAAGATCCACCGTTCTGTCCCAGCTCAGGCTGCATTGCATCAAAACACCAACCGCTGAACGTGAACTCACTGTCATGAGCAGAAAGAACGAGTCAAATTATGAAGTGAACACACGATGTGTACAGAAACCGCTGCTCCTGATCAACCTGGAATAAATGGAAATGATCACAGCGATTCGCTCGAGTGTGAGAACGTTTGTGTTGTTGTGAATGTGTGTCGGAGTTTAGTCTGTTCAGCTGAGAGAACAAATCTGATCTCTAAACGTAAATTGTGTTTATATGTATTGAAAAGATCTCAATATTCTTTCATATCTAATAAATCAATTTGGTTTGACGCTGGTCGTTTATGGCGGTGTTGTGTTCATAGTGATGTATGATTCTGGTTATAAATAATAACAGCTGCACCGAGAGAGACTGTGGAGTAGTGAGGGTGCCAAATTACAAAAATAAATCAATAAAGGAATAATAAAATAAAAGTGGAAATAAAAAGAATAAATAAAATAAAAAATAAATAATGTGGCAATGTTAATCAATATTAATCAAAAATGAATCCATAAAAGAAAAGTCTAATAAAAGTAGAAATATGAAGACAAATAAATCAAATAATAACGATTTATTTTTGTATTTAATTATTTTTGTTTTTATTTTTTAATTTATTTAAATCTATTTTTTATAATGTTGCTTTAAAGTCAAAGGAAATATGCGCAGAAAAATGTGTGCAGTAGGTGTTTCATATTGCCTTTGCTTTCAAAGTGACATAAAATACAAAAACTAAATAAATAAATAAAAATGAAAACATTATTTACAATGAAAATATAAAAATAAATAAATAATGAAATAAAATGTGTAGAAATAGTTGTTCCTTTAATAGCGAGCACCACAATCATCACTGACGTAGACTTCAGGGGGAACTCAAGGAATCCTCTCCTCAATATCTAGGACTTGTGCACATTTGTCCTGGAAGACTGGTGATGCAGACTTTGTTCTTTTTGCACAGGAGGAGTTGGAAATCGGTAATAGTCTCACTATCAAATGTCAAAACGGTGTCACTGCTGACCGAGATCACACGTTGCTCAGAATTCATATCAATGTTTTGGGTTCTAGGATATCTTGAATTAGGTTTGAACCGGTCAGAATGATGATAGATAGATAGATAGATAGATAGATGGATAGATGGATGGATGGATGGATGGATGGATGGATGGATGGATGGATAGATAATTTATCCATCCCCTTGGGGAGGTTCTAGGTATCCAGTAGCTCACACGTTACATTTAAGAAAGAAAAAATGAGGAAACCACTGCACATTGTGCAATTAACGTGAAAATCGTGCTGGTCGAAGAAATGAGGTGTTGGTATTTACAATAAAAGTGTAAAATTGCCCGTATTTACAATTAAAAGTATTCTAAAGTGTAACTACAGGGTATAAATAGAAATAATAATCAGCATTGCAGCCGTAATCGCATGTGACAGGCCGTTTAACCGCCACGTCAGAGCAGCCTGAGGCCAAGGTTCTTGTAAACGTTGACCACAGGTCTCTGATGGACGACGTGTTCGTTCTCTTTGCTGATGAGCGCTTTCTATTTATTGCAGCAGTCATTTTTCCACCACAGCAGCCGTCAGTACTTCTGCTAACACTGTTTAAATGCAGAAGATGCAACAGCGTCACGTTTAATCAATGTTTGCTGTGAAACAGCAGCTGAAAGGTCGAGATGTCTCGTCCTTCTGCTCATCTCTGGTGGGAGGGACTAGGATGCAAGGAGAGGAGTCAAGGAGAGAAATTCAGCAAAGGAATCGAGGATACACAAACTAAGAAGTGAGGAGGACTCTGGTGACTGCATGTGTAAATACACCTGGAGGGTTGGACTTTAGGTGAGTTAGAGGAATGACATTCATAACGTACAATAGGAAGACAAACCAGCACTCCCAGCAACAGCATGGTGAAGCACACGCTGGAATAGTGGTAAGGAAAGGATGGGCTACAGTTAAATAAGCTTTTAAGCTGTATTTTTAGTCATTAATGCACCAATAAATACTAATAAAATTATTTTATTAGATTTTTGGGGGGGCTGCAGGTGTCTCAGTGGTTAGCACCATCGCCTCACAGCTAGAAGGTCACCGGTTTGTGTCCCGGTGAGGACACCCGGGATCTTTCTGCGTGGAGTCTCCATGTTCTCCCCGTGCAGCGTGGGTTCTCTCCGGGTTCTCCGGCTTCCTCCCACAGTCCAGAAACATGCTGAGGTTAATTGGTGATTGTAAATTGTCCGTAGGTGTGAATGTGAGTGTGCTTGGTTGTCTGTCTCTAAGTGTAGCCCTGTGATAGACTGGTTACCTGTCCAGGTGAACCTGCCTTCACCCTGAGTCAGCTGGGATAGGCTCCGCCCCCCATGACCCTAGTGAGGGTTAAGGTGTAGAGATGATGGATTGTCTTACTGTCTTTGTCACTTGTTCATATCATTTCCAGCCAGAAGAAAAGGTCAAATAAAAATTCACTGTAAATCAAAAGTTGGCATTTGGATGAATAATTTGGGTTTAACTGTACATCACATTAAAACAGTGTTTGTATTAAAAAAAAAACACACATGTATTATCTTCAGTTGTCCAATAAACTAAATTCCCAGGAAAATACAGTTGCGTATATAAATGCACAAGGCTCTGGGTAGATCCACTGACTTCCTGTCCATCCTGCACTGATTGCTGCTGTGTGATCCAGCAGAGCACCACTGTCCCCTGCAGACTGAACCCAGGGAGTGCCGTTACTGATTACTGCTCACTTTATACACACCTGCAGCTGCCTGTGTGTGCATCAGACAGTCATAACATGCAATCACACAGAACTGTATCTGTGGTGACAGGAGGAGGTCTGTGAAGTTTTATTGCTTCTTGTAACTGAAGAATTGTGACCAAAGAAATGTTGTAATCAGACCTGACTTCTAGGATTGTACTAAAGATGCAATGCCTAATCAATCAGTTGGTCAGCTATTAAATGAACCCCCTCTGCTTTTTGATCATTGATTAATTGGATTTAAAAGTCAAAATTCTCTGATTCTGGCTTTTTAATCAGAATCAGAAAAAGGCTTTAATGCCAAGTGAGCTTGCATGAAACTCACAGAACTTATGAAGGTTTAGTTAAACAACAAGAACGTGTAACCGGTGGATTCAGGTGTGTACTCAGAGCTGAGACGTAGACTTTCTTTTGGAGGCGTTTATTACAGACCTTGACAGCCTATTAAAAGAACCCACACAAAATCTGTACCCCTACAGAAACCAAACAATACATGAATACATTAGACCAGGAAAGAGACCCTTCAACTACAATCATATTACATTAAAACACACAAATTACAGCAGCACAGTCTCGCTGACCTCTTGTACAGAACACATGAGCAAAAGGGAAGTGGTGAGGCGGGAAAAGTTCAGCTATAGGACAGGACGGGGTGGGGGGCTCAAAGTGTACGTATAGGGGGAAAGGTTCCACACAACTGAGAGACAGACCAAACTTTGTGTAATTATACACAATACATATAACAACAACAGATGTGGTATATTACAAATACAATAATGCATATATGTTTGAGCCACAACCACAGCTGCATCACTGACCCTGTTAGACAAGCAACAGAGTTAGTCAGTAATAATAAACAGGAAATCTTCATCTTAAATACTATAAAAATAGCTTTTAGCAAATTTGAATAATCTATGGATTCTTTAATTAAACTGAATCTCTTTGGGTCGTCGGCATATTATGACACCACAAACCAAATAGACTAATACACTGATGCAGAAAAATAATAATTATAATGAATGAAACCAAGTCTTTTTGATGCGTTTTCTGTCACTACAGTCACTTTTTGGCAAGTGAAAAAAATGGCTATGAAATGGTCCTTTAAAGCTTTTTCAACTGGTTAAAACAACACTCATGTAGAACACAGAGGAGGTAAAAAAATAAAAAATAAAAATAACGACGCAGAGACGTGAGGATAATTGTTTTTGTGGAGTAAAAAAAAAAATCAGTTTTTGACAGAAGACTTTTTAGCAAGTGAAAAATGACTGAAATGAGTTGAACTGGTCCTTTAAAGCTATTTCAACTGGTAAAAAATAAAATATACAGGAGGCAAAAAAAAAAAAAAAAAAACGGCGCAGAGACGTGAGGACAATTATTTTTGTGAAGTAAAAAATTTTTTTTAAAAAATCATTTTTTGGCAGAAGATGACTTTTTGGCCAAACACCGGGTTTCCGGACACTCCCGAACACTCACGAAGACAGCCTCCCCTCTTCTTCCTCTCCTCCCTCCCTCCTCCCCTTCACGCCTAATGTTGCTGTACCTCAAACCCTCCCCCCGTATCAGAGGAGTAGAAACAACAAGCCGCCATTTTGTTTGTGCGGACAGACTGTCAGAAACAGGAGGAGATAACCGAGAGAAGGAGCGACTCCGGCTACCGACGGCAGCCGCTCCGGGGGAACCACCGGGGGGAAGAGAAAAGAGTGGCCGAATCCTGTCCGCGTTTTCTGGACGGAGGAAGCATCGCGACGACGATAAGACGTCGGCGGAGGGAAAAGCGACTCGGTGACATATTTATATGTATGCATGAGAAGGAAATACTTCGAAAAAATCCAAGGAAGGGGGTGTTTTACGGAGCGGAGACGGGGAGGAGAGGCGGAAGAAGGGCTGTGTGTCGTACCGAGAGGGGGGAAAAAACGCTGCGAGTCCGGGCTAAACAGCAACATGAAAAATCATTATGTGTCCGTCGCGGAGGAAGGAAAGAGCCCGCATAGACAATTATATAAATAAATTGCTGCCGGGCAGAAGGGAGAGGTGGAAAGAAAGACGGGTTTAAAGAGAAGGGGGAAAATTGCCAGGATCAACACGAAGGGGGGCTTTCACCATCACAAAAGAGGCAACGAGAGGATTTTGTCAGCCCCAAATATTTTCCAGGGGGGGTGTCAACATTATTGTGCCGATCCGAAGCTTCCGAAAGAGCCATAATTTTTTCTCTCTCGTCAATTTCTTCTCACATTTTTTTCTTCTTCTTCTCGTCCGTCGCCGTTGCTCCTGCTTTTGGTTCCTTTTCTCGCTGCACGGCCAAGACCTCTATCCACAGATACATCCACAGTGCTCTTCATCATCTCTTGTTGGAGGAGGAACCTCGTTTTCTTTCTTTTTTTATTGGAGCACAAGTAACCCAACAGACCGTCCTCTGCAAAAAAAATAATAAAAATATATATCTGACTAATTGGATCAATCTGACTGCCCGCTGATTGGCAATTTGCACTGATTGCCCTCAAGAAGTACACCAAGAAATAAAAGTGTGCATGCGCAGAGACTGCACCAGATCAGTGTTTATTGTTGTTATTATTTTGCAGATTTTTCTGGGTTTTTTTTAAGTCTTTGCTAACCTCGCTGACTGCAACAGACGTTTCGCGCAAAGGGGGTTGCAACAAACCAAATGTGCAATACGAGTCTTTCTGACCCAGTGCCTTGCATGGTCAAATACTGAAGTGCACAGATTAGCCAGCATGCACATGCAAAGGAAAAGTCACGCGTGGACGTACACAGCCGCAACAGCTTTTATTTTTACTTGAGTAACTGCAGAGTGCGGTGTTTTCATCCGTCCGCACAGCTGTTACACTATTTATTCAGTTACTGTTGAGCCGATGCAAGTTCTGTTGGAGAGCTTTAACTACTGCTGGTGGTTCTCACACACCGGCTCACTGCCTTTTGGTTTTTTCTCCTTTTTAAATTTTTTTTTGCTCTGGAAACGAAGCGACTGCCAGCTGAGATGTGTGCAGCTCAGGTGAGAGACATGGTCAATGCAGGCGAGGATCTGTGAACTGTTGCATGAGAGAGCGGCCTCCCGAAGTTATCCCGGGGATCCTCCTGGCTGGAGCTTCTGGATCACACTTGTCATTTTCGTGCCCTCACCAAGACACGCCTCTGGAGCGTTTCAAATCACAAATAAAGGATTTCTCCGCCGACTATGGCGGCCAGGACGGAGTGCAGCACGGAAGACGGATCTTGGGACAGTTTTTTTGTCGCAGAAGAGGCTACATGAGGTTGTCAGAGGGCCGCACGCTTGCCTTTTTCGCCGACTCCACCTTCCCACCTCCTCCTGTTCAAATCTGTGAAGAAACCAAATCTCCGGCAGGGGAGGGGGACTGATATCTGCAGAGGAACAGACCGAGAGGGAGGACTGAGAGTTCAACATTGCTGTCCTCTCCCCTACCGTCCCCCAAGCGGTGGGGGAACGATCACAAACACTTCTTGAACGGGAGTAGGAGACGCAAATAAGGGACTTACATTTGCCCTCCGTGGATCTACAGCATTTTTTTTTTATTTCGTCAAAAATATGGCCGATAATGTCCTGGAGTCCGGCCCGCCTTCAGCCAAGAGGCCCAAGCTGTCCTCTCCAGCTCTCTCCGTGTCTGCCAGTGATGGAAACGGTAAATATATTGCATGCATTACTCACCTGGATAAAACACAAGCACGCTTTGGTTTTGTTGCATTAGCCAGCAGGCAGGCTCGGGGGCTCTGCAGAGTTGCACAGCAACTTAGTTGCTATGATGCTGAGCTGCTCCGCAATTATCGCTTTTAAACCTGAATCTATCCGCAGATTAGTGTTTTAAAAGTGGTAATGTGACATTTAGGATCAGTACAGGGGAAACGTGGTGTGGTTCTGGCGACTGGAGCAACTTTCCAGCAGTTCTGTTTTGATGCGTTAGCCTCAACAGGCTAACTAGCAGCAACTGCAGGATACACCTCCAAACAATGGAAGAGTCGAGTCACCCCAGTTTGCTTCAAGTTGTGCAGCTACTTTACAAGTTAGTTGATTTGAAGGCGGAGAGTGCATACACGCGAAACGGCAGGTTTCACAGATATCTCGTAAACTTGGAGATAAAGTAGAGTTTCCAAAGCAGCTTTAAGAGAAAGTAACGGTAACCAAGTGAGCTAGCTAGCTAGCTAAGCAGGGAACCACAGCGGACCGGCTCAGCTGAGCTCGGTAGCTGGCTAGCGAAGAAAATAAGCAATAGTTAGCCTCATTGTTTTTAACCAGCAGGGCAACTTTTTTCAGTGGGTACTAATCCTGTACGTATTCGGAGAGAATACCTCCGTAGTCGTGATTTTTTTCGTAGCTAACGTGTTGTTAGCCGTGAGGATTCTCCGTCCAACTGAACTATTGTATACAAGCTAGCTATTGTTCGGCACTTCATTAAGTTGGGCACAACGTTGTCGTCCTGCCCAAGTTATATCTGCTTCACTTTTAACTGTTACCGCGTTCACGTGGAACGATAAATCAGCCACAGTCGTTTGAAATGGCTTCTTTCACGTCCTTTGTTCAAAGCCTTGTAGTTTCTCAATTGTGCTAACGACACCACTACGAAGCCCATTCTTGTTCGCCGTCCATTGTCTGACTGCACGGCGACACTGCGCTGCACTTTTACCAGTTAACTTTCCCAACCATTTAAATAATTTTTAAAAAAGCAGACCAGTTGAATACCCTGAACATTAGTTGTGAATTTAGCTATTACTGCAATTAATTTGCTCACAGGGAGCGGAAAGCTGTAAAATCTTTGCACTAACAGAGAGTTTAAAGTGTTTGTTTTATGCATTTCTCAGTTATTTATAGTGAGTCTATCAGCATGTATGGCATAATAATTATGTTTTAGACCTTAAAAAGCTGAAACAGACTGAACTGGTCAACCATACAAAGACCAGTGGCCACACCACCAGTTACTGCAACTACATCAGAAAGTAATTAATGCAAATTTCAAGCTTGATCCCTCTGTAATGTCCCACATTACTGTGGCTCCTGCTGCAGTGATAACAGGGTGAAGAGTCAGGAAGGGCTGCAGCTAGTTTTCTGCCTAACTCAATCACTGGAATATCTTCTAGTCGGCAGCACAGATTTTTAGTCAATATGCCGTAAAAAATCAGATTTGTGTTTTTATGGGGCCTCGTGAAGTGAGTGTCCTGTTGGGTTAAAGTTCGATTTAAGGAAATAGTCATTTTTCTGTATTCCAGGACACTCGACTGACCTTTTAATCAGCCTCCGGTTGCAATGCATGTTCTCTTACACTCCCTCTGTTTCATGCTCATGTGCTAAATGACTATAGCTCAGATCCACACACCTACCAAGGTACTGTAGTGTTTACCCCTCTGCGGCTTCTCACCCTGTCCCCACTGCATTCACTCTCCATGTATGGCACCTCACCAAACCACAAGCTGATGCCCAGGAGAGAGGCCCGAGCTGTGAGATGCAGCTGCTGCTGCTGCTGCACTGGATGGCCAGCTATAGGCTGTGGATTAGGGGTTAATCGTTGTTTAAACTGTCAATGAACTGAATGCTCTTTCTTTTCCGTGTTGTAAGATTTATGTTTCTGTTCCTTCATGCCTAGATTTTGGTTCACTCTTTGACCTGGAACACGACCTCCCAGATGAGCTTATCAGTTCTTCGGACCTGGGACTGACCAACGGAGGGGATGCCAGCCAACTTCATACCAGTCTTGGAGGGGTTGGAGGAGGGATTGGTGTTGGAGGTGGCCAGGATGCAGCTGCAAAACACAAGCAGCTCTCTGAGCTCTTGCGTGCTGGAGCACCAGCACAGCAGGGTGGTCCTACTTCCAATAGCACACCACCCGGGGCGTCTATGGCGATGATGGGGGGTGTCGGTGTCTCCACTGGTGGACCTCAAGGGATGACCCCCCAGGGCCAGCAGCAGCAGCAACCGGGACTAATGCAGCAGGTTGGAATGGTTGGAGGGGTGGCAGCGCTCAATCGGGCAGCAGCCATGATGGGAGCCCAGAAGGGCAACACTGGACAGCAACAACAAGGGCTGATAGGGGGACAGGTAGTAAACGGTTCGCCCAGAATGGGTTACCCTGGCAGTGCCGGCATGGGTAGCAATAGTAATCTGTTGGCTGAAACCCTACAGCAGCAGCAAGGAGGTCAGCAAATGGGAGCCGGAGGTCAGGCAGGGATGAGACCGCAGCAGCCTGGAGCACTGAACAAGGTAGGCACAATGAAAGGGCCGCCATTACTGATTCACTGGTCGCTAGCCAGAGTTTAACATTTCAATGCAGCTATTTTATAGTGAATTATCAGTTGTAGTGATGTGCAGTTGTTAACAGAGTCTGATACACTCAGGGCTCCTGACTCACTTTTTCACTGTCACCAAGCGGACCGCGTATTAAACGTCAGTACTGCAGTCGATCGTGTTCGTTTGATCGTAGAAAGCCAACATTGTGATCGCTGTTTATATTGTTGTCAGTTCTTAGCCCGAGCTCTGCATTGCCTCTTGTGATTGAGTGTAGTGGGTTTTCTGTTAAACTGAATCAGTCTCCCTGCTTCCACCTGCACTCTTCATCATCAGCTGTCTCTGAGTCTAACCCCTCTCTCTCAAAGTTTTTAAATTTAAAAAAAATTAAAAAAATCAGCTATTGATCAGTAAACAGTAACATACAGTGGGACTGATTTTTTCACGCATCAGGCAGGGAGAGACTGACGAAGCCCACGAAGCTGAAAAAGCACCACCTTCACCACAGTAGTGAACGCAGTTGATCATCATATACTCGCACATATATGACCGCGTGAATTATAAACTTGCACAAAAAACCGTCACATATGCAACCGTTTTGGCTGCAGTGTGAAGCCCTGATGTTCCAGATGCTGGCCTGACCACAGTGTGCGTTTGGTGCTCAGGTGAATTCTACACCTGCACGTAGTTCTCTTCAAATATAAAACAATTTTGAGCACTAATATATTATTTTACTGTTTAATATGTTATCAGTGCAGTTTGTTATATTGAAGACAGCATTCCCAAAAAACGTGGAAATGAGATTTTTAATCGAGAAATAATTGGTAAAGCTGCAGGCCTGTAGCCGACTGCTTAAGATGAGTTCTGTAGAGCAGGTGAAGGCAAACTGTGGTTATGTGATGGACTCGCAGCTGCATCACAGTTAGCTCTGTGGTATTGATGGTTAACCTCCTTGAAAGTCAATATGCCACATGACAGTTTTGATTTACTCTAAAGGTGTGATGGGAGCTCTACAAATGACTAGAGTAGTTTAATTGGGTGCTATTTTTGCAGCTGCATGAGATTAACTCGTGAGTGTACGTGAATGACAGAGAACTGGATTTACATCACGTCCAGGTTGTGCGTAATCCATGTTTTATACTTCAGATTATGTTTTGTCCACACAAAGAAAGTTGCGCTGTTTTAGTTCATCGCTAAACTCAGTGATTGTAGTTATTTTTCTCCCGAAGCCCACAAGTAAAGATGCACGACTCCTTCACATAGCAGCAACAGCTCCCGTGTCATGGATCATCTGTATCGTGCTTTAGAGCCTCATTTGATTTGCTGCTGTTGAAATGAATGACAATTTAGCCAGATGCTCAAAAAGATGGCAATTAAATCATGTCTCTGTTATTAATTTATTGTGGAGATCAAAGTGCAGTCAGGAGAAAGCCAAAGCAGCGTCGTAGTCGTCTGGTCACAGTGGAGACCCGTGATGAAGACGTTTCTAGTCGTGTTTCATGTTGATTGTATGTTGTCCTCTTAATTGTTTTTTCAGTTTTTGAACAATCTGTGATATCGGTTTACCCCCCGTATTTCTTCCTTGAATGTTTAAATATGGCTTCAGTTTTCTTTCCTAATGAGTCATGTAAAAGCCATTGTTGTGATTTTGGAAATCATTTCTCCCGTCTCTCATCCTGTATCCATCTCCTTTCCCTTTGACTCACCTCACACTGTTCTCCGTCACTCTTCAGATGAATATGATGGCCAACGCGGGCCCCTATGGTGGTCCGTACGGCCAGTCTGCCGGCCAGGGGCTTCCTGGAGCAGGGCTGGGCCCACAGCTCCAGAATAAAGCAGGTCTGCCCAACAACATGGCCGCCCAGTTCAGCATGGACAAGAAGGCGCCACCGGGTCAAGCGATGCCTGGAATGGTAGGAGTTGTTGGTTTCTTTTCTGTCCAGTATCATAATTTGATAAAGTCACAGCCATGGTAGACGTCTCTTGGCAGCTGCTCCAGATTAAACTCATATTTTAACTCTTATGTCTTAATACTGTATCGTAACACTGAATGTGATTCTAGTACTAAGTTAAAGTGACTGTTTTAACATGTGTTGATAAAACGGTTCAAACCCCTGACCTCTGAGTGGTCATTAGAGACGTGATGAACAGATAAAGCAAACACCAGGTTATTATATGAATAGCAAAAAAATGACTCGTTATGCAACGATTAGCCCAGAAAAATCTAAAGCATTAAACACGGCAAACAAGTCGCAGTGCGTCGAACAAATACCGTCGCAGCAGCTTTATCAATGCAGGAGATCTGTGAGTATTTACGGTCACGTCTAACCTGGATTTATACTCAGAGCCACTGGTGCTCTCCACGACTGTATACTGAACGTTGTTGGAAGTGTGTAGTCGAGTCCTTTTGCTCCTGAACATCGACGCTCAGCTCCCAGCCTGTGTTAGCTTTTGAAAATCTTTGTTTAATGTTATTGGGAGCCTCAGGTAGCTAGCTAGCCTCTTTATGGGGCGCAGTTCATCAACAGTTAGACTACAGGGAGGAGCGCTTGTTTTAGGAACCCTTGCAGGCAGGGAGGAAACACACCTGTAACTCCACCTCATTGAACTGTCAGAGGCTTCACCTGGTGGAGCAGCCAGGTACTGCAGTAAACCTCGGATATGTTTTCATGTCTGTCGTCTCCTGCCCCATCTTGTAGTATACTTTTAATTGATTAAATACAAACTGATAGTTAACATCTCCAATCTGCAGCCCCACTACTTGATTGAGGAGCTCGACTAAGTAAGTGGCTGAATGATGTGGTTTGTTTTTTTCTCCGGTGTGTGTTTCCGTCGTAATATCCAAATCGGTAGTGAGCTGAATGAAAGTTGGGCTTTCTGACGTATTGATCGCTCAGGCCCAGTTATTGTTGACTTGTAGACGTGATCTGCAGTCAGCAGAGCTCTGTCACCTTACAGTCTAGACTTGTTTATTATCCTTATTGCTATTCGACTGTAATTACAAATAGGTATTTTTTTATTCCAATGGGCTCGTTAATGCTTTAGGTGATTTCCCCTAATTTATTTACAGATTGCTGGAAGCAAAGTTCTTCAATTTATTATTGGTCTTCTAGAAGTGTGACAAATCTGCTGGGTCAAACATATGCACACAGCAATGTAGATATTTGGTAAATGTCTCGACTGTTTTAGCTCAATACTTTACCAGGTAGTTAATTGGATGAGTGCATATAGACGAACAGCAGGCTTCTTAGATGTCCTGTTAACATAGAGACACAGTACAGTTTCTAAACCAGCTTTAGGAGGAAGTAACCAAGTGAGCTAGCTTACTAGCTAAACAGAGAACCCCAGCTCAAGTCCTGTGTGACCGATCCACAAGCCTCTGGTTGACTTTCCCGACTTGTTCAAGTCAGCGGTTTGCCTTTACAGATCTGTGCTGAGCTCCTGAAGCTTTGTAGAGTTGGTAGCTAAGTCTATCAAATGGGCCCTGTTTAAATTGGCTCATAGGAGTCACCAGCTGTAGTCGATCTAGACACTCTCAGGAAGTTGAGAGGCCGTGCCAAGAAAGTTTATCACAGCTGTCTAAATCATTACAACTATTAATTCAAGCTGTTGTATGTATATTTTTGACCCAGCAGACCTACAATAAATCTATGAGGGGAAACGAAATACAGCATTAGTTTTTAGTGAACAAGGTGCATGTGTTTCAGTGATTTGCACGGTTTTACAACTATACCAAGTCTTTATTTTTAGCACCTTTAAACTACATGCATGGCTTTTGGAGCATCAGTGAAAAGCTTGTAATACTTTCCTAATAAGGAGGATCAGCTAGTTGAAATATTATCGATATCGTAGTTTGATCAAGAGCAATAACTAAAACTGTAAAATGTGTCACAACACATGTTATCATTATAAATGAAGCATTGCAGCGCTACAGAGGTGCCCTGACCTACAGCTCTCCAAACATGAAGAAATGTGCCTTTTTGGTGCAGACTGCAGCAAAAATCACATCGTTTTTATTTATCTATCAGTAGAAGTGAAGCACAAATGCAATACCTGTTGAAGTAATTGTGCAGTGTTCAGCTCTATTTGCTATGCACAGAAGTGCTACTGTTGATTTTTCCTGCTGCTAGAAATCCAGACACAAAAGGATGCTTAATTATTAGGTACCCAGCTGTTACCAGGTTGGAAGTGGTCCCATACTACCTGCTTGCATTCTTGTAAACACGCCTTACAGAAACTCGTCTCTTCCTCAGACTCCCCAGCAGCAGCAGCAGCAGCAGCCCGGAGCCGTCGGCGGCGCGGCCATCGGCGGAGCAGCAGCAGTGGGAGGGGCCCAGGTTGGATTAGGTGCTGTAGGGGCAGGGCACGGCACGACGCCCCCTACTGCAGACCCTGAGAAGCGGAAGCTGATTCAACAGCAGCTGGTCCTCTTGCTCCACGCGCACAAGTGCCAACGGAGGGAACAGGCCAACGGGGAAGTGCGGCAGTGCAACCTGCCCCACTGCCGCACCATGAAGAACGTGCTCAACCACATGACTCATTGCCAGGCTGGCAAGTCCTGCCAGGGTGAGCCTGTTGACTTATGCTAATTGCCGGTTTTATGGTGTGCAGTTCATATCATGAACACTAGGCAGTCTGAGGTTGTCACATTACTGCAGCAGATCTTTTTTCTTTTGCCTGGTCCTGTATGTTGGTTAATCCGTCTTGGTTTGCCTCCCGTCCTTTCTTTGTATCAGGAGTTATTCTCTCTCCAGCAGGCTGTTCTACTGTAATTTTTCTTTCTCCTTCTCTCATCGAGTCTCCATCTGGACATAGTTTTATTGTACTGAATGACTCATACAATAACTTTCTTAGTCTCTGCCTTCTCTCTCCTTTTTGACTCTCATGTTTTCTTTTTTTTCTCTCATTATTCGTCTCCCTCCTTCTCTCTGTCACAATTTTTCATTTCACTCGCTCTCCCTTGTCTTTCATTTGCACTTCTCTTCCCTTTTTCTCAAACGTTTCTCCGTTTCTGTCTCTTCTCCTCCTCCAGTGGCGCACTGTGCCTCATCCAGACAGATCATCTCTCATTGGAAGAATTGCACAAGACACGACTGTCCTGTATGTCTGCCGCTGAAAAACGCTGGAGACAAGAGGAACCAGCAGTGTGAGTGTTTTGCAATCTAGTTGTGTGTGTTTGAGCAGTTTACATTCTCATGGCTTCTGTCATTACAATATTGCATATTATCTAAAATCACATTATTTGGACTTCTGTATCTAAACAGTGAAGGCTTGGATTTACTGATACTCATCCCTTGTTCTCTCTTTCTCCCAATTATCTCCTCCCTCTCCTCCCATGACCACAGCGCTTGTCAACAGTGCAGGGGTGGGTTTAGTGAACTCTTTAGGTTCAGGGGTGCCAGGTGGACAGTCCAACACGCCGAACCTGAACCCTCCCAACCAGATCGACCCCAGCTCCATAGAGAGGGCCTATGCTGCACTCGGCCTCACGTACCAGGGCAACCAGATCCCACAGCAGTCACCGCAGGCCAACATGCCAAACCAGGGGCTGCAGGGGCAGGCTGGGATGAGGACTGTGAACGCCATGGGTTAGTTTGCAATGCTACACATTATATGATAACCTACTGGTACCACTACTGAACACTTTTATGTTCATTCTTGACCCTATAGTTCAAGTTAAAGCTAGATTTTTTTTTTTTTAGAACTTTTGAGTGCCTCAGTTGTCATCACATCTGTAACTGAAGGTCTTTGTGGACTCTGGACGGTCTTCAGTGTTAGAATAGCCTCCTTAATCTTTTCCAGCCGTCCACTGACTCATGGATAAGGACTTTAGCTCATAAATATGGTTTATATTTTAACGTAATTGAATGTCTCGACGTATGCTAATATTATTTATGATGGTTTCCTACCCTGCTGAAGAATAAAACCTGAAGTAGACATTGAATCAATCAGTATTTGTTGCAGCAAGCTCATTGCACAAATATTGTTGAAAGTATTTCCTAGTAAAAGTCAGTATTCTGTCAACTCCCCCTTTTTCCAGGAGGAAACTCTATGGGAGTGAATGGTGGAGTGGGGGTGCAGCCCCCCAACCAGCAGTCCACCCTACTGCCAGACGCCATGTTGCACAACAGCATGAATGCACAGAGGTAGGACCGCTGTTTATTGGTTACACCCATGGACTTTCTCTTAAGCCTGGCTGCCGTCCTATAAGAGGCTCTTACAAGGTTAGACTTGGTTCTGCATTGGCTGAAATCTTGTCTGTTGTTTCCCTCAGTTTGATGAATGATGGTGTGGGGAACCTGGGCTCCATGCCCACAGCCACTCCACCTTCCGCTGCAGGCATGAGGAAGTCTTGGCATGAAGACATCACGCAAGACCTCCGCAACCACCTTGTCCACAAGCTGTGAGTCTGTTGTGTCCTGCAATTGCCCCCATAAATTTGAGCTAATGAAGTGAAATAATTTTAATCAAATTTAAACCAGGTCATTCTCAGCAGTGGACGTCTATGGAATGTTTTTGTCCTCAAGTTTATTGTAGATGTGTGTGTGTGTGTGTGAGAGCAGTGTGCAGGCCATCTTCCCCACTCCTGACCCAGCTGCACTAAAAGACCGGCGGATGGAGAATCTGGTGGCTTATGCTCGGAAAGTAGAAGGGGACATGTACGAGTCAGCCAACAGTAGGGTAAGAGCGCAGCACTAAGAGCACAGAGTAGTGTAACGTGGTCATAAATATATTTATGTGAAGCCCTGTTGAGATGTATCCTGTAACATCCTTCCTCCTTCCTGCTGTGTCCCTGTTAGGCGGAGTACTACCACCTGCTGGCAGAGAAGATCTACAAAATCCAAAAGGAGCTGGAAGAGAAGAGGAGGACGCGGCTCCAGAAGCAGGGCATGATGCCTGGCCAGCCAGGCATAGCGTCCTCAGGCCTCCCTCAGGGGCCTCCAGGCATTGGCCAGCCACCCATGCCCCCTGGGCAACCCCCTAGTAAGTAAACATAGTGCTGTTACCTCCACTGCATAGACTCAGTCACATGCAGTGCAGGCGGCATAATAAATGCTTTTTGTGCTTCCCAGCCGCTAATAAAGATTTCAAAAATGAAATACAAGGAACTGTTTGGTTCTAAAGTGTAAAAATGGCACATATGCTCAGTGATATAGCATTTGATTAATTTTCTTAAGTGTGGTGACATTTTTCTTCCACTCATGCTTTGCAATCCTGAAGACAACATCTGTTATTTCTGTAACTAATAGATGGACCTCATCCTGATCCGTCCATGGTCAGACCAGCTGGACCCAATCAGATGGCAAACAGAATGCAGAACCCAGCAGGTAGCTCTCTAATCATTACAAATGACGCTGAAACGGAGGCTTGTTGAGCAGCTAGGCTTACAGAAATTAATTTTCAATAGGAGGAACAGCACCCTGTTAGCGCTTAGAAAATGTTCTACAAGTCAATCAGCTTTTCAGAGTTTTTATAAAATCAAAAAATTGTCTGAACCTGTAGCCATGGTGTGCTGTTTTCAGAGAGGTACAGGACTTTATAGGGCAGGGAAAATGAGTCCACAGTGAGGAAAAATGTAGAAAACAGGAGCCAAAAAAACAAAACAAAACACAGAATCTGCCTTAGGTTCAGAGGTTCAAATCATATGGTCGTCTCCCATCCCTTTCATCCATGTGTGAACTAGGGCTGGAACACTTTAAGGAAAAGGTTCAACCACATTTGTTCAAACGAATCTCATTTTGGTGCAAAACGTATTCACTGCTAGCTGAAAACTGACAGGAAATACGAATCATTTTAACCTGTTTTATCTGTGAATGCACACTGAAAATATACAAACCACAGCAATGAACAAGAAGCTGTTATTTCTGGGTGCCTCTCATTTATTGAACATGTCGTCCTTCTGTTTCAGGGATGAACCAGTTTGGTCAGATGGGGATGGGTCAAAGGTCGACGCCTCCTCTTCCTCTTAACCCTCCAATGAACCAGGTTGGCATTAACGTCTGTCTCTATCATTATACTGGGATTGTTTGGATTTCATGGCTGGAGGTCACAGATAAATACATTTCCACAATTGGTGGTTGAGCATGCTGTGAAGAATTAGTTGTTAGTGTGAAGGAACGTAAAACAAAAGGCAAAGAAATGATGCAAAGCTTCCCTTGTTGTTCTATTTCCAGATGGGTATGGGAGCCACAAGAATAGGTCAGCCCAATGCCACACAGTTGCAGAACCAGTATCTTAATCCAGGCCAATTTCCCGGGTCCAGTCCTGGACTTGGTTCTGGTCCTGTTGGCATGAACCAGCCAGCAGCGCAGACTGCCGTGCCACCGGTAAGGCTCAAGTGACAGCAGCTTGTAACCTGATGACGAGTGCAAAAGAGAATTTGATCTCAGAATAAGTGTTGTAATGAAATTCTAATTAATCTTTTGGTGGGATGAGCGGGAATCTGCTGCATGAATGTCAAAGAGAACAAACTCTCAGAGCCGATAGAGAGCTTTATAAAGAGACTTAAAAAAAAGTATACATGTGCATAAAACTACTGATTGAGATTTTTAAAAAAACACATAAAATGAGACAAAACTATCAAAGTGCAAATATATGAAAATTAAAGTGTGCAAAGTCCCTCAGAAGAGAAGTTTCCTCTCCTTGCATGGAGGGGAGTCTCTGTACCACAAGAGTGTCTTTCTGTAGTTGTCCTAACTGCAGCAGGGCTTTGCAGGAAGTGGTGGAAGGGATGGATGTTGTGCACTTCTTCATTCAGATGTTTTAAAGTTTGTGCTTTTAGGCAGCCTTCTTTATGTGAGAATGTTTTTTCTAAGCTTCCAAGAGAGTGATTAGAAATATGTCCCGTGTCCTATCTCGTGTAGCAGAACCAGATGTCAACGCCACCTTCCCTCCCAGCCAGCAGCCCTGCAGCACCTTCTGCCTCTTCTGCTCCCGGCCCCGGAGCACCTGGAGGCTGTATGGGCTCTGCTAATGCCAGTGGTGCCGGGCCTCTACCCAACCTGCCTCCATCCTCCACCCCCACCCAGCCCAACTCCTTCGCTCACTGCGCACCCCTCCGAACCAACTCCCCGTCACCAGCACGCAGCTTAACGCCTCAGCCCCATCAAACGCCGCCCATGTTGCCTGGCTCTCAAACCCCACAGCCCCAGACCCCCAGCACACCCCAGCTTCCCCCTCCACAGCACCCACAGCAGCAGCAGCAACAACAACAACAACAACCCTCACAGCAGCAGCAGCAGCAGCCATCAGGGCAGGCAGGGAACTCTGAGAAAACCAATCAGCTTCCACAGCAGACGCTTGGGGGCGTGGCTTCCTCAGGCCCCCCAGCGGGTCAGACTCCTTCGGCGCCGACCCAGAATGCTCATGTGCCATTACAGCTACCGCAGACCCCAGTGAGTAGAAACGCTTTCACTACTTTGCTTCCTCCTCCAGCAGCACAGCCTTCCTGATCGCTCTGATCCTGTGAGCCTTTGGGTCTGAAACGCTCGGGGTGTTTCATTCCTGCTACACCTGAACATAGGTGCAGTTTATTTGTTCTCTTATACTCACAGGAAACAAGAAAAATGCAATAAAATGAACAAGTGAATTAAAAAAAAAAAAAGTCCAGATGTTTAGTTCTTGCAGTGGTTTTCAGATTACTTAACTTGGGTTTGACGAAGAAGCAAATGATCTAGAAGTGGATGAAAAAAATCAGAAGGGAATGTGTGAAACTTGACATTTCTAAACCTCAATCCACGTCTGTCCTTTTCTGCCTCAGCTGTCTGCGAAGCCTTCTCTGACAGCAGATGGTCAGGTATCGTCTCCAGCGTCGGTCACCAGCAGCACTGATCCAAACTCCCAGCTCGCCCCGGTAGATGTCCCTGCTGCCAGCCACGAGGACATCAAAATGGAGGTGAAGAAGCAGGAGGATGAAGATGAAGGAGCTGACACCCAAAGCGAGGGCAAGGGGAAAATGGGCAAGGGTCAATCCGATGTGAAGACTGAGGAGAAACCAGAGGTAAGATTGTCCAGCATGTCTGGAATAAAGTCAGACCTGAAGAGTTTAGGTTACAGTCACATGCAGTGTTTGAGGTGTAATGATCAGTGTTATAAGGATTTGTATTGATGAAGACGCAGTAAACTGATGCCTAAATCTTCCTCTTAGATAAAGAAGCCATCTGGAGATGGGTGTAAAGGTGAGCCCATGGATACGTCTTCATCCTCTGTGTCGTCGTCGGCGGTAGCAACGGGTGAAGACAAGAAGCCAGAGGTGAAGAAAGAGCCCAAAGAGGAAGAGGAGGGTTCAGGGTCAGCGTCCTCCAACAGCTCCCCAGCCAGCACTCAGAGCAAGAAGAAAAGTACGTGTCAGGTTTTTTTTATTCACTTAACTACTGTTATCTGCACAGTAACGGGTGAATAACACGACCAGAAAGTATACTCAAGGAAAGCACTATTAGTAACAAGAAAATACAGTTGTGACTCGATAATCCGACCCTTAACAATCCTAAACCTGCTATCCGACAGGAAAAATGAACAGAACCCATAAAAACAGCCTTAACATAGCGACAGCCTTGGATTGTGACTCCAACATGACATTTAATGTCACCAATCAGGATGACGGCGTATTATCTGACTGAACAATCCCACAGATTGGCTACGTTCACACTGCAGGACTTGATGCTCAATGAGGATTTCTTTGTGACTTCCTTCACGTTTCCACTTCAATGCGACTTGTATGTGATCTGCTGTGTGAACTTCATACGAGCCAAAAGTGTCCCGCATGCGCAGAAGAGGACACGACGACGTCACACGCAGCGAGCGTGCTCAGTGTTTATGGAAGTAAACATGGATGGTAACGGTGGAGCGTATCTGCCACTCCCCCGCCGCCACCGATGGTGGAAACAGAAGTGTGAGCGCTAACTAAACTAGCATCAGCAGCCAAGTACTGCCTGTGTGTTCTGGACACTTCCACCCCGTCAGAGCGCTGCCCCGGGGTGGAAGTGTCCCCCGACCGCACCGAATGTTCTGATATTCATCATTAACTGGGCCTGAATATCCAGAGAGCAGAAAGTTCTATTGGGACCAGCCCTACTAGTTATTATAACAACTATGAACAATAATGAACAACTAATGAGCCTTCCAGCATCAAGCCCTCCTCGTATCTGGACCTCCGTCTGGACAATCCGACAGCCTTGATATCTGACATAGAAGAAGGTTTTACATTTAGTATCGGGTTATCGAGTCATGGCTGTATTGTCATTAACGGAAACACTTTAGAAGTTGTTTTGGGAGGCAAAATTATTTGTGCAAATGTTCAACATAGTTTATGTTTGATGCATGAGTTCCTCAGAGTTACTGTCAAATGAGATTTCAGCATTTTGCAGCTTTTAATAAGTAATGAAAATAGAATGCTGACAATCACCCCAATTCTGTTATTGAGATGATAAAATTCAGAATTAAAAAAATAAAAGTCGTAAATGCAGCATTTTTCATGGCGTTTGGAGACAAAATGTTTCCCACAGAGTAAGTAGGACATGGGCCAGAGCAGGCTTGAGGTCTCTGAATACAAGGCAAGGTGGTGTGTGCATCGATGCGTACTCTTAACGCTGAGCTGGCTCCATGCCGATCGTAGCCAAGCCTGTAGCTGCACCAAATCTGTGACCGATTGATACGCTGCAGTGTCAAGGTGCAAAGCCAGGGTGTCATTTTGATCACGGTGCAGCTTTCATTGTTAAAAACACCAAATGGGCACGTAAACAAAGTAAAGAAATAGATTTTCACCTGAGGTTGGTTATAACAACAGTATTAGATAATTTATTCAACATATGAAGTGAAAGTAATACGATTCACTGGTTCTCTTTTAGCAAAGACTTTCCTTGTTCTAGCGTCGCAGCCTGAATACGAAGCTGTGCTACAGAGTCATGTTAACAGGAGGAGTTTAAAGCATTAATTTACATCCAACTATTTGTAGTCAGATGTCAACTATGATCTTAAAAATCTTCTGAGAAGTCTAGAAATTTGTGTTTGGAAAGTAAAGAATTTTGAAATTCAAAACGTGCAGGAATCTCGTTGTTGCAGGGAGCCGGCTCTGAGAGGACGTAGATCTAAAGAGTGCAGCTGTATTATCTGATTAGATGTGTTGCGCTTATCGAATCCTTTCAGTTAAATTAAAAACTGTTTCACTAAAGAGACAAACCTGTTGATAACCAACCAATACCCAAAAACAAAAAACTTGCTAACACTTAAGGAGCTTAATTTTTTCGTCTTTAATAAGTTATTGAACAAAATGTCAGGTTAAAGTAAACCGAGAAGCAGAAAGAAAGTGGAACCTCTGGGAGCTCCTGTGACGGAACAGCGACCACGGGGCCGACTGCTGAGTTAATGGAGTAGCTCGTCTGCCCGTGCGGTGCGTCTAATGTGTGCTGTGGGTGCCGTTAAACGATGCGGTCGGTGAGCTTACGCTGCCGGCCGTCCTCCAGCCTCGTGGAGAGGTGAGGATACCCCTGCCTCGCTCTCATTTCTGCTCCTTCTTCTCTTGCAGTCTTTAAACCGGAGGAGCTGCGTCAGGCTCTGATGCCCACCCTGGAAGCTCTGTACCGGCAGGACCCTGAGTCCCTTCCCTTCCGTCAGCCGGTGGACCCCCAGTTACTGGGAATACCCGTACGTATTCGAACTAGTAACAAAACTAACCTGGTAAGGGACTGCACTGGCTGCCATTTTGCATCAACTCCTCTGAAACCGTAGCTTTTTTTTCTTTTTTCTTACTGTTTGTTTTGTATGTTTTCATCTTTTTTTTCCTTCTTCTTCTTCTTTTTTTGTCATAGTTGCCATATTATTATTTAAAATTTATGTTTCATACATGCTTCCAGTTTTCTTCAATCTTTCAGTTGACTTTTGTTCCATTGCATGTCAGACGTTAGGAAAATGAGATGTGGAAGTGTGTGTGTGTGTGTGTGAGAGTGTGTGTGTGTGTGAGCGGACACCTCTTTGTAAATCAAAGCAATGACTCTTATGAACATGAGCGCAAATGACATGAAGCAACATGAAAAGTTCTCAGACTCAGAACTTTTTGATGGAATTCACCAACAGCTGATGTGATTTACTTACTCATAGAAGAATACCAGACAATCCCAGGATGTAAACATCCATCGGCGTATTGCACCTAATGAATGAGTGGCTGTTTGTCCTTCGCAGCACATCGAACACAATTCAGAGATGAAAAAAAAAAATTGAGTTCCACATTCCAAAAAATTCCAGATGCTTAATTTGCGGTTCATGAGCCAGTTGCTTTCATTTATCATTTTAATTTGTTTGCCTTTTGACATAAAATTTTTCAAGTGATCATAGTTTTCATCGTAGTGTTCCATTGCTAGCTTTCTAGTTCAGTTCCTCACCAGTATTAGTGTGACAGTGTTCAGGTGGACAGTGTGCAGAGGTGGGACAATACCTTTTTGTTTTGGTTTTTAAACTTTCGTTGCATCCAAATTAGGGGGGACATGATGATTTTGGGTGTAAAATCGAAGCAGAGTGACGGTGTCCATCCTCCCACTGCCTTATGAAATGCAGAATGTAATAAACACCATTTTTAGAGCAGTGATGAGCAAGCACCAGGCTATTGGCTCACCTCTCCTTCAGGAACCTCCACAGTCAAGTCATGCAGCTTTCCACTGTTAGATAATTAAACACCATGTTCACATTAACATTCAGCTGCTTATTGGGAACGTGCAAACTGACAGGATTCCTACATTATGATTATTAATACTACGTATGTTGTGACATAAAGCTCTGCAGGTTGACATGGTAATGTGCATCACTTGTTTGTTCATGTGAGTGGTTCCATTCAGAGATGAGGGTCTGTTTCCTAAGTCCTGTTGCCATGGTGACACTGAGATGGACCCTGCTCTGTGAAACTCACACCTCCTTCTTTTTTTTTTTAATTCCTTTTTTTTTTTGGTTGAATCTCTAAAAAAGCTTTTCTCTTCCTCGCGCTGCTCTTGGCTTCCTTTTCTTTTGACTTTGAGGAGAAACGGAGGGCAGCAGCAGCAGACGGGAACAGAAAAGCAACTTGGAGACTCACCCGTCCTCTTGCATTTGCTTCACCTCAGCACCGTTGGCGTTAACTCTGCCATCGTATCGCCACTCGTGCTGCTGCTGCTGGCATCGTTAACGCCAACACTTACGTTGCTTAAAACAGTAGATCTCTGTCTGCCTGTTGCTTTTGCCACTGCTCTGTTCTTCTTGGTTTTGCACCCTGATCGCTGCTCTGGCCTGGAAGTCTTGTTTGCTTTCAGACCTCAGCACAAAACCCATTTCCCCCAACTGTGTGACCAAATGAGAAAACTGTATTCTTTAAATTGATAAACGCTAATTCCATCATCACATGGTTGGGCTCCAGTTGCAGTACGAACATGCAAATTACATCATCAGTACATTTCATCTGTGGCTCGTTTTTGTATATTTTTTTAATGGTCATATGAGCTGCAGAGGACCTGACACACTTGTGGAGGGACTTAACTTTAAATGTAGGGTGCAAAGCAGAGAGCTGGAGGGCAGACGTTGTCATGTCTCTCTGTTTGCACGTGAACCTTCTTCTCTGCAGCGCTCAACAACATTGTCCCCCTGCACCCTCTTCTCTCCCTACTCTGGTCCCGCCTGGTCGACTGCGACACCTCCATCACACCTTCACCTGACGGCCACAATGCTGATGACGTTGCTCCTCCTCCTCCTCCTCCTCCTCCTCCTCCTCCTGCCTCCCTCTCTCTCTCGACTTCTTCTCTCGGGTGACCAAACCCTCCACCATCTCGCTGCACTTTCCTCTCTCCCTCCTCTGACCTTTCTCAACTCCTGAACTTTACCTCCACCTATCCCTCTAATCCGGACGGCGCCCCTTCCAAACCAGGACTACTTTGACATCGTGAAGAACCCTATGGACCTGTCGACCATCAAGCGGAAGCTGGACACGGGACAGTACCAAGAGCCGTGGCAATACGTGGAGGATATCTGGTTGATGTTCAACAACGCCTGGCTGTACAACCGAAAGACGTCCCGGGTCTACAAGTACTGCTCCAAGCTGGCCGAGGTGTTTGAGTCGGAGATCGACCCCGTCATGCAGGGCCTAGGGTACTGTTGTGGGAGGAAGGTAAGGCGGAACCACGTGTTGTTTGTCTTCTAGAAAAACAGCAGGAAAACATTCTGCTTCCCTTTTTAGTTGAACTAATTTATATCAGGGTTTTGTTTCAGAGGAGTAATTTAAAGTGATGGGAAGATTGACAACAATAAATAAACGCTTGTTAGCTTAGCACAAAAACCGAGAACAGTCTCTAAAGCTCGCTGATTTTACAGCTTGTTTGTTAAAGTCTTTATAAAAACCAAAACTGTAAAAATGGTCTGTTTTCCAGGTGTTGTGTGCCAGACTATTTCTGTCTGTAGGTTCCTAAAAACTGCTTCCAGAGACGTAATAGATTGAACAACATGTTTATTAGTGAGCTTTGGAAGTGCTGCTTGTTGGATTTTGTCTCTATTGGACAAACTAACATTCTTTTGGTTCCCAGTATTTATGCGAAGCCAAGTAGCTGCTAGCTGTAGCCGACGGTTTAGCATAATGCTGGGGTCCGGTTTGGGCTGGGTGTGACCACTTTAAAGTGAAACATACAGAACTTGTTGTGGACGTTATTCGCTTTAGCTTTCCTCGTGTAGCAGATCAGCTAGTAATCGTCTCTTTTTGTCTCTTTCTTCTTGCAGTTTGAGTTTTCCCCCCAAACTCTTTGCTGCTATGGAAAACAATTATGCACCATCCAACGCGACGCTGCTTATTTTAGCTACCAGAACAGGTAAGGGCTGTCGACACACTGGATCACACGCACACACACAGATCAGACTCATAGCGTTCAGAACATGTTGTTGATGTTTACCCCGTGGCTACATTGAACAGTTGATGTATACGAAGCGTTCGCAAAAGCGGCTGCTGCACAAGTGCGACGCCGTCAATGAAATCGGCTGTAGTGGGCGTGTTAGTGATCAAACGCACAGTGGAGCTCTGCAAATGGAAGAATAGACCAGTCTGCCTTTGTCCTTTAACACAGAAATCTATTGTGAGGTATCAAGAGGTCTTGCTCACTGCATCAGTATTTATTTTGCCAGTGGCCACCAGCTTGCTCATGAACTTTATCCCCCACAGAATCTCATGAAGTCTGTTAGCTTACCCTTATTACACAAAGTCACTGGAAAAAACATGTTTTCTCACCGTGTTTTTTCAAAATGGCGGACTTCCTGTTGGGTTTAGGGCTTGGCGCTGATTGACTTTTTTGTGCGTCCTCACCTGCTACACATGCCCAGCGAATCTTGTAGCTGTAGGTGAAACGGCCTTCCGACGGGACTCCGTTGAATGCTGGAAACGCAGCGAAAATGGTCAAAATGGCCATTGATCGAAATTGCGTGGGCCGCCATTTCCACGCTGTTAAACTTTTGCAGAGCGTTTTAATAACTTTTAATCACCACGTCCTGTAGTTTGTGCTGGCCAAATTTCAGGTGTGTACGATGCGCCCCCTAAGAAGAGATAGATTTTGAAAATGAGGGAAAATGGGCTGTAATGTTCGCCGTTTTTCCAACATGGCCGAGTTCCTGTTGGGTTTACAGAAACGCGCTGATGGACTTTTTTGTGCATCCCGACCTGTTTCATATATGTACCAATTTTTGTAGCTCTACATCGAACGCAGCCCCGATGGGACTCTGTTGAAATATTTTAGGGGGCGCAGTTGAGCCGTGCTGCATTTTAGAGCTTGGTGTTTTTTTTGCGTCCTGACCTGCTCTATATGCCGACCAAATGTCGTAGCTCTAGACCAAACGTGTTTCCTATGGGACTCCCGTGAAATTTTCAAGGTGGTGCTGTGGAGCCGTTTTGACAGTGACGTGTCCAAGACCCTTAAAATATCAATTTTTTTGCCAGTCCTGGTGTGTGTGGTGATTTTGGTGAGTTTTCTTGAGTGTTTAGACCCTCTAATTTGAGTTTCTAATAATAAACATATAATAATAAACCAATAGGGTCCTTGGTGCGCTCGGACCCTGATGAAAGCTCGGTGTCTTAGTTTGCTACGATCATGTCTGACTTATCAAACATAGACTTTGAGTACAAGCCATTTTCTTGGATTGTGCAGTAAAGCAGCCCTATTTTTTCCAGTGACTTATTCGTTGTAATAGGACTCCCCTCCTATGCAGTTCCCCGTTTGCAGAGGCACCATCACTGCATTCTAGGTTTCACACCCCGGCATTGTGGCGATGAGTGTGGCTGTGCGAGGCTAGCCGCAACCCCACGACGCAGCCTGTTGATAAAAACAAACGACGTCCCGTGAACGACGCGCATACATGACGTGTTCAGTGCAGCCACGCCGTCTCCTGCTTTGAAAATGCAGCCAGTGAGATCAGCTTGTGTGTGTGTTGTATTTTGCACATTGATTTATATTTCGTACAGCGTAGCATCAATTAATCAGTACAATCACAGATGAGTTTTAATTTGGCTTCAAATGGTTACCCTGGCACTAGTTCCATCTTCAGAGTTCACCGTTTTTAATTTTCATTATGTTGTCATTCATAAAGTGGGCTCCCGTCTTCTTCGGCACTTCCATTGTTTCCCATTGAGCAAACGTATGTGTCCGAGGCGTGGCGGCTTGCATTTTCGGATGTTGAGTTGCACAAACCAGAGTGGGAGGGGGGTGTGTCCATTAAACCACCAGCAGAAGGAAGGTTCCCACTTTATAAATGAACATAAAGGATGATGGGTCTCTGTTGCTTTACCATTTATTTTTTTCCTCATCTGCCTTCTCATGTTTGGAGACTTGTATCCTCACTCCCTTCCTCCTCCACAGCTCCTAGTGGTCTCTCATGTTGCTGTAATGTTGTTATTGTTTACCACTGGACGTCTGAAGCTAATCTTTGCTTTGCCTTGGCTCTCTGTCCTCTGTTGGTTGTTGTTCACATCCTGTCCGTCCCTCCCTCCTCCATGCCAACGCCCCCGTCCCTCTCTGTCCCTCCATTGTCTTTGTCTGACCTGTAACGACTTATTTCACGCTTTTTTAATATTCATTTTGACCTCCCCCCTCCCCCATCTCCCTCCCCCCCTTCCCTTCTCCCCCTCTCTCCCTCCTTTTTTAACGCTTGTGATGTCTGCATTGGCCTGCTTTGGTGTGACCAATCATCCGCTCCGAAATTTACGCGCAAAATCAAAACACCCGCCCACATAAAAACCCTGCATCACGATTGGCTGCTACCTCCTGGCGACGACCTACCTTGCCCTCTGCCTCCTCCTGTGTGTCCGCCCCCTGGCCTGTCCTGCCCTGCCCTGATTGGCGGCTGCTTCTCCGTGCCCTCTCTGTGATTGGCTGTGCTGATGACGAACGGTGTAGTTCACCAAAATATGGGCTTCTTGCTGACAGGTACCACTTCTGTGAGAAGTGTTTCAACGAAATCCAAGGCGAGAGTGTTTCCCTGGGGGATGACCCCTCCCAGCCTCAGACGTGAGTACCGCCGCAGCCTCACCGTCCTCTGATGCACCACATACAGCAGCATGCTAAGCTAAAGCTCTGAGATCCTTAAATGATGTTTGTAAGGTTGAAATCCTGCAGCGATTAATCAACCAGTTGTTTATTTCTGGAGTGAAATGCTAAACATGGAGGGTTGTATAGTTTTGACAATCGATTCTGACTGGCATTTCAATACAGAATTGATTATTTATTTATTTAAAAAATAAAATAAAAAAGAAGGGAGGACACTATCATTACCCACTGAGCTGCAAACACAACACAGCTGAGCTAATTAGTCTTGATGAGGGTCATTGTTTGAATGGAAGAAAGATGAGTAACCTTATTAATTAACTTGAAAGCTTCCGTCTTCTTGAGTGAGAATATTTAAAATGAATTTGCAGTTTAAGGGTTGAAAACAGATGCTAGTGTGTGTGTTGTCGTTACCATGTGTGTTACTAAGCTGATGTAAGGCCTACGTAACCTCTGTCCTGAAAAGCTAATTATGAATCCGACATGCAACCAAATGCTTGACTTCTGTGAAGATAATATCAGGATAACTCTTTCTGTTTTTTACCTGTCAGCACCACATTTATTAAATCCCCCCTCTGGTCGTTAATTAAAAAAATAAAAACAAAAGAAAATAATTTTTAAAAAGAGCAAAAAAGAATAATAATATTGCATAATCAAATCATGATATTAACAAAAAGGAGTGGAGAGAAGTGAACACTGTTAATGTGGACAGCCCTGATACACATTAACCTGATAAATGGAGGCTTTATTTATTTATTTGTTTATGATCTGGCGACCCCCTGAAATCATCTCGGGACCCCCAGTTTGTGAACCGCTGCTTTAGAATATGCAGATTTTATGAAGCGTCTGTTTTTTTCTCCTGCTCGCTGCAACTTGAGCACACCAGCTCTCCTACAACTCAAATACTGGAGTAGTTTAGCTGCACGTGTTTGAGCCAGAAATCAATTCTGAAGAAGATTAACTGTGCAAACCAAGCTCCCCGCTGCAGGTTGACAGGTTTGGTGGCTTCGGTTTGTTCCGTATGAAACCCTGGAGAACCGAATCCGTGGTTTTAAACTGTCGTCAGTACGCTGCAGTTAAAGGTGAATACGTTCAGCGATGGTGTTGACAGCCTGGTGTGCTCATGATCAGCCTAAACTAGCACTAAAATTCAATAACATTCACCGTATGAGCCTGTTTAGAGGGTTAAAAAAAACCTTGATTTCCTCTTTAAAATTATTTTTTTTTAAAATGTTTTTGCCATTTGTGGATTAATACAAAATAAAAAGGAGAAGAAACACTTTTTTTTTTTTTCATCGACTCAAACAAAACAAAACGTTTTTAGTTCCAAGTTTCTTTCGTGTGAAAAATTGCTGCTTTTCTATGTTTTATTTTATTGTAAATAAATTATCTTTGGGATGTTGGCGTACAAAACAAAACCTTTAATGGAATTACTTTTATAATACATCTATCAGTTGATTGTCAAAAAAATAATTATTTGGATAACTCAGAATATAAAATGTTTGACAATGAGCTTCACTAATGCAGGGTTTTAGTTTATTTTATTTAATGTAAGCTGCATACGTTTGGCTGTTTTTTCTTCTTTCAACTGGACAAAACAAATCATTTGAAAAGGCCCTCCTGTAGTCTGGAAAACAGGCCATTTTAATAATTTTTTTTGACATTTAATTGACAGTTAATTAATTAATCAAGAACATAATCTGTCGTGACCATAATCAAAAGTTGCTGTCCTGGTTTTCTGCACCAGTAAAGTAGTCGGTTAATTAACAGTGATGGTTGTTGTGTTGTTAGCGTCTTAGCTGTCCTGTGGGGTTGAACGTTGTTAGCAGCAGCAGCAGCAGCTCAGTGGTGTTTAAATAGCTAAAGATTAGCTTCTGCTTTTATTATTGATTTCTGTAATAAGTTATCAGCATGTATCGATAAACGAGAACATTTCTAACTTTTGTTAGCATCTCCTGAATGTAGGATTTTGTGCACAGCCTGTCGTCTGCTCAGAGTCGACCTGTTGCTTATCGTAACTCGTTTTCTGATTTCTCCCGCAGGTCCATCAACAAAGATCAGTTCCAACGAAAGAAGAACGACACACTCGACCCTGAGCTGTACGTGTCCTTCTTAATTCATTTGATCCATGACTGTATGTAGACTGTTGGTGTTTTCCGCTCGTCAGAGTTTCTCGCAGCTCCTGCAGAGGAGTGAACAGGATGTTCCATCATGGGTGGCGCGTTGTTCGCCTTATTAACTCTGGATGTTGTCTGTCCTTTGTCTTCCTCTCTTCTCCCTCCTCAGACTTGTGGAATGTATTGACTGCGGTCGTAAAATGCACCAGATCTGTGTCCTGCATAACGACACCATATGGCCGTTAGGGTGAGCCAGCCGCCGCACACACACACACACACACACACACACACACACACACACACACACACACACACACACACACACACACTCTGCACATTCTGCTGAGCGACTCGGTTCAGAAACCACATCTATATTCTTTGAACATCTTTAATTCATCATAAAAAAATCAGTTAAGATCCTGAAAACTACAACCGTTAAATCCAGATGAGCACAGATGTTCACGTTGCCGTTTAAGGTCGCACACGATTCAGAAATCTTGAGGTTCAGGATCATACACATGCAAACAAAGTCCTGCAGCTCAAGTGTAGAGCAGATCTCACTCCTCAGAGTTTGATCTCCATCCATGTGTGGTCTGTGATTCATAGATCCGAGTCCTGTTTTGATTATTGGTGCTTGTTGTGATGATGGTAACCTGCAAAATTAACCAGTTACTGTTCAATTCCTCCCTAATCACAGCTTCGTGTGTGACAACTGCCTCAAAAAGGCCAATAAGACGCGGAAAGAGAACAAATATGCAGCCAAAAGTAAGTTAACATGAAGCTACCAGCTCGTTTCATGCATGTGTTTCACAGCCCTGACTCCCTCCTTTCCTTCCTGCCAGACTTTGTCTTCCTTCTCATCCTTCCAAATAGTTTTAATAAACTCTCATTTTTACATCTCAACCCTCTGAATCCGGGGCAACATGTGGCTCTTTTTGCTAGTGCTGCATTTTTATTAACCGTGGGCTCATTTTTTCACTATAATGTAAAGTCCTGCGCCTCTGTGGAAAGACCAGGGACTCAGAAATGTGATCTGTGCAGCGTAATGCCGTTAATCATGAAGAAAAAACAATCAAATCAACTGTTTTTCACTGTAATCTGCACATGGACTCTAGAAAGATAGTTCACCATGTAAATCCTCCAACAAGTCGCAAGTGAATATCCTGCCAGGTAGTGATGTTTAGAAAGAACCCAACCTGAAGACACCGTAACACCCGGCCTTGTTTTAAATGAGGATTAAAAGATGTTGTGGTTTTAACGTATTCTGACTACATTTCACCTAAACTGGTTAAGTTGTATTAATCATCCATCTAGCAAGAAAAGATTTCACTCTGTTTTTTAAGTAGGTTCTCATCTGTACTGTTTTCATTTTGCTTTAGAATAAGTCTTAATATATTTTTGTATGTAGTCGGGTTGTGTTCCTCAGCTGCTGTTGTTGCTGGTGACGGAGATGCAGCTTCAAGATGTTTCACAGCAGCGACAAACCGCTGATTGACGCACATCTCTGTATTTCCGCAGGGCTTCCTCAGACCAAGCTGGGGTGCTATTTGGAGACACGAGTGAACGACTACCTCAAGCGGCAGCCTCACCCCGAGTCTGGCGAGGTCACCATCCGTGTGGTCCACGTCTCAGACAAGGTGGTTGAGGTCAAGCCGGGCATGAAGTCCAGGTAAACGGACGCACATGTAGGATGGTGGCTTACACATCTAGTCTGATCGTTGTCACGGATCGCTGCATTTTTAGCAACAGATTGTTTTCCCAGTGAGTTTATGGTCTCGATCACTAGTGTCAGGTTTCCTTCAGTACAGCAGGATTTCAGTTCATACATTCTGGCCTCTCAGTCAGATGCACCCTCACTGTTACGTCCGGTTCTTAAAAACAAAGATGGCATAGTGCAGCGCTCCCCAACCTTTTCTGCACCACGAGTCAGTGTCAGGCAAGACAATTTTCTACGAACCGGTCACACATGACAAATAATAATCTTTTTTTTTCTATTAAAAAAAGTGGATGCCATTTTCGCTCACCTGGTTGAGCTGGCGGCCCATGTACAGGAGCTATAGTCCCCGATGCAGCGGTCATAGGTTCGAATCCCACACATGGCCCTTCGCTGCAGGTCCTTCCCCCGTTCTTCTCCCCCACTTTCCTGTCTGTCTCTCTTTCGACTGTCCTACACAATAAAGGCAAAAAGGCCCAAAAAAATAACTTAAAAAAAAGTGTCATAAACGATTAAAATTACTCTTTATTGCTAAATATGTGTTTACTTCTCCTTCTGTCTCAGCATCAAGTAACTGACGGCTTCGTTTAACGGCATAAAAACTGACAGTCAAATGCAGGAAACAAGCTCAGACGGAAGTGACGGGAAGACGAGCTAGTCATTTTTCAAAATAAAACACTCACCGTTTTTATTCTTTCTGTGCGGCCCAGTACAGGACCACGGACCGGTGGTTGGGAACTGCCGGCCTAGTGCTAAACTGGCTTTAAACCAGTAGTCAACCAACCAGTGGGTGACTGAACAGTCACACTGTACGTTGACCTTCTCTCATCACTGTGATGACGTTTGTTGGATATTTTCGTCACTCAGGCTGTTGTTTTTCTGCTCCAGGTTTGTGGACAGTGGAGAGATGGCAGAGTCTTTTCCGTACAGGATGAAAGCCCTGTTCGCGTTCGAGGACATCGACGGAGCGGACGTATGTTTTTTCGGCATGCACGTTCAAGAGTACGGCTCGGACTGCCCGCCTCCCAACCAGAGACGAGTGTACATCTCTTACCTGGACAGCGTGCACTTCTTCAAACCTCGACACCTCAGGACTCACGTCTACCACGAGATCCTCCTGGGATACCTGGAGTATGTCAAAAGGCTGGGGTAAGAGAAACACGGAGACTTCCTCAAGCAAGAGAGCCCACCTGGGAGCTGAAATCTGCTGTGAGATCAGTTTTATTTCTTTTTTTCAAAAGCCTCAGTCGCTACAACTAAACGTGTCCCTTTCTCAGGTTTACAACGGGACACATCTGGGCCTGCCCTCCCAGTGAAGGCGATGACTACATCTTCCACTGTCACCCAATGGACCAGAAGATTCCCAAGCCCAAACGCCTGCAGGAGTGGTACAAGAAGATGCTGGACAAGGCTGTTGCTGAGCGCATTGTCCACGACTACAAGGTGAGACATTTCATTTTAGAGTTGGCTCTTGTCACACTTTTAACTCACTCTAGGCTCATTTTCTGTGCACCTTTATGAAGTGACTAGCAGGAGAGACGACACTGATTTGGAGACACTCCAACTGGTGCAGGCAGATACTGTGATAGATGTTTAGTAGGAAGTAGTTTTGTTTTGTTTTGTTTTGTTTTTTTAGTTTTTTTAATAAAATAGAATAGAATAGAAATACTTTATTAATGCCCAAGGGGAAATTCTGTTCTTACAGCATGAAGATAAAGTTACCACCACCATAAATACAGATAAACAAGCAAAAATAAACAATAAGAAATATAAAATGCAAAATGTACAATAAGTGTTTTTCTTCATGTTATCAGTTAGTCTCCTCTGAAAATTGAAAAACTGTGCAGTCAACATGTTTAGCGTCTTTCCCAGTGCCCACGGGTGTTACACTAAATAAAATAGTGGCTCTGAATACTTTTATTTTTGCATGCTGGTCTCCTCTGCTCTGTGTAAATACAGCTGAAACGTGCCTTTTTTGCCACATGACTTCCAGCTGAGTCCCTAAAAACTTATGAGTTGACAGTTTAATTTTCATTTAAGTTTTAAATGACACGTGGAATAATGTTATTGAAATATCCCAATTGTAAGTTTAGCTTTAGTTATATTATTTTCCAGATGAACAGGATCATTTCAGAAACCTGCAGCAACTTCTCCTGTTTTCATGGTTTCTGGCTCTGGTGTCATTTTGACTTCCCCTGACAGCCACTAAACTGATCCTGTGTTGAAACAGGGTTCTTGCCTGCTGTTTGAACTGCGTTACCTTTGAATCTCAGTTTTCTGTTTTCTCTTTGCTTAAACGGTGAAAAGCCTTTTCAGTGGCATTAACACTCTGTTTCCGTGTCTTTGTCCTATTAGGACATCTTCAAGCAGGCGACAGAGGACCGGCTGACCAGTGCCAAGGAGCTGCCATACTTTGAGGGCGACTTCTGGCCCAACGTACTGGAGGAGAGCATCAAGGAGCTGGAGCAGGAGGAGGAGGAGAGGAAGAGGGAGGAGAACAGCACCTCCAACGAGAGCACAGATGTGAGTGGAATGAGGGTCTGCACGTAGTCGTTGTTTTCAGGCTCATTGATTTGATCTGAAATTAACATTAAAACTTTTACAGGCCACAAAAGGAGACAGCAAGAATGCCAAAAAGAAGAACAATAAAAAGACGAGCAAGAACAAGAGCAGCTTGAGCCGAGCCAATAAGAAGAAACCAGGGATGCCCAACGTGTCCAATGACCTTTCCCAGAAACTCTACGCCACTATGGAGAAACACAAGGAGGTATGCAAGCCTGATTCCCATATCATTATACTGTTATCACATCATCACAACACCGCTCTATGCTGCTGATGCAGCTTTGCTGCCGTGACCAACAGTTAGACACCAACCTGCCAGCTGATTATTAGTGTTTCTAACGACGAATGATAGACTTCGTTAGGATCGACTGTTTCATCTCCACCTTCATGTGTCACTCTTCTGCTCAGAAAAAGTTAATTCTTCGCAGAGATGAGTTCAACAGTACGTCAGGGCACATGTTCATGGAGAGGGTGTGAGGAG